GAATATTCTAATACCTTTAGTCAACCTTCGAGGGGCTAACTCTACAGACCAAAGTAAGACGAAAATCAAAAGGGACAATATTTCGGTAGAAGCTTCTGTCTTAAAATTATTAACCCAATTAAAAATCCGCCAAAATCATGACAATTACGAATTTTAGCTGCGTGCACGAGATAGAGTCGCGCCATAGTGCGCCTTAAATCAGTAATATCTGACACACGAAAACGTTTACTATAAGCACAGACGAGGTATACGTGTAGACGTTGCATAGAATGTATTTTTTCGGCCCATTTTTATGGGGTCTCGAGATCCCATTACCATTTTCGTGTCACTCGCAGCGTTACCAATGGATTTAAGCTGTATGGTCCAGAATTGGGCACCAATCGATTAATTTGTTTGAGGGCCCACAGAAATGTTGTTTAATACTTTTTTTAGGAATCCATGAGCACTACGTCAGAAATAAATTTCAATGAAATACACTCACTATTGTAGGACTTACGGTCATTTGAAAATTGGACCATTTTTATGAGGGTTTTCTCACTTTGCATGGTTAAAGATCAACTTTTTGAACATTCTTAGAATTTCTAAATATTCTTCAACAAAATACGCGTAGTTTGCATTTTAAAACATTAAAATCGTCCAATTCGTTCAGGAGTTATGTTGTCTTAAAGATTTGCATTTCGGGCAAACATTTCTGGCCAGAAATGATATTTTCGGTAAGGAATTTTTTTCTCGAAAGTGCGTAGGAATACCGGGGTATGTCTGTTGACAAAAAATGATTGTAATTGACCCCTACAACTGAAAATAATTTTTTTAAAACAATTTGTAATTTTTTTTTTCGCCGAAAAATTTCACACCTACTCGAATGTTTTTCTCGAAAGTGGGTAGGATCACAGACGAAGTATACGAGTAGAGCTTTCACCACAAACGAGGTATACGAGTAGACCTTTCAGCTTATGGACTTTCGCGGCCGAATCTAACTGAAAAAAAATTCTCGTCGAGGTTACCCCAGGTAGGAATCGCGATTGTAAAAGAATCACAATAAACATTCCAAGTTTTTCTTTTGATGCTATGCGAAATACACACGAGGTATACGAATAGACCGGACACCTTATGGACTTTGATGATCCAATCAATCTGACTGCCATAACGAGTTATTTTTTAAATAAATAAGGATTTTCGGTGTAGTTGTCAATAAGGTACATCCTTATATATTTTAATAATCATAATCGATTGGTTACTCCAATGAAATTAATCGATTGATGTCCAATGATGGACCGTACAGCTTTCATTTCGTTAAAAATATAATACAATTTCTGTAATTCCATCTTCTGTCTCACTTCCTCTTGTGTTCATTTCTAAATCTGTTGGTAACGTTGCGAGTGACACGAAAATGGTAATTGGGTCTCGAGACTCCAGAGAAACGGGCCGAAAAAATACATTGGGTGAAAGGTCTACTCTTATACCTCGTCTGTACTTATATGTAGACAGGGAGCATCACGTACAAACTAAACGGACAATTAAGTGGGCAAGAATGCAATCACTTTACGTAGACTCTACAAGAAGCTTTAGACACTGTTTATTAATTAGACTGAAGTACATATAGTCTCAAGTTAATGTACATTATGCTTGACGCGATGTGAAAGCATGTACTAGTCGAAAGGAACGTAGAGACTAGGAATATGTGTAGCAGTGTCAAGCACGGGTTACCGGTGTCTTCAGGAATAATTAGACAGTGTTCATTAATTAGATTGTCGTACATATAGTCTCAAGTTAATGTACATTATGCTTGACGCGATGTGAAACCATGTACTAGTCGAAAGGAACGTGCAAACTACAAATACGCCTTTCTTTGTAAGCCAAAGATCTCTATCCGTTTAATAAATACAATGCAATATATTGTCTCGATATCTAATTATTTAAACCAACAAAACAGCATCAAAATACTATAATATAGCTCAGCCACTGGCCATTGTTAAAATCATATGGGATCCCTCATGCAACGTGTAGAAGTACTGTTCTGCGACGCTGGATGGCGCTCATTTATCGACCTTGTAGGATTATGGTCTCGATGGGTAACGGGGCGCGGCCTACTACCGCCGGAATACCAGAATGGATACTTTCTTGATGAGCAAAGACTTTATTAGAACGGAATACACCAGATCACACCTTATCCTACGGCCGCTGGCACGCAAGAGAGAGAGCTCTCCCTCCACGCGGCTAGCTGCACGACACTAGCGCCGCGCAGACGCGGGGACGCGTGTAGTCCCTACAACCTCAGACCCCTCGGTAGCTAAATCGCCCAAGTTTGTCGTGGAATAGTTCGTTATTTTCAACGATGGTGGCGGTTTTTATCGACCCTTGGGCCCACTGGTGCTAAAAACCACAGACGAGATCATATACCTCATCTGTGGTGAAAGGCCCAAGTTTGCATAGAAATCTATCTAGCGTGGACGATACGAACTATTCCACGACAAACTTGGGCGTTTTAGCACCAGAGGGTTTGAGGTTGTGGGTTTATTCTTACTTGATGCACGTGGTTCGTTTCCACGAATTATGCGCGTGCGTTCGTAGGCCCACCCCTACGACCACGGATATTAATATTCGAAATAACTGAACACGTGTATGTAACAACAACAACAATAACGAGTATTACTTTATTAACGCTAGGCGTACAAGTCTTTGTCTAGCAACAGAAGTTTTAATCTTTATCTTTTTGAGGTGCTTCTTCGCGAAGTTCTTACCAAGCAGTGACTTGAGCGTCCTTGCATTTTTGGGAGGACGCGCTTTCGCCCTGCTGCGCTGCGCGCGCAGCCTTACGGCGGATTCGCATTTGACGGGAAACTGCGCCCCTATACTCTTGTGCGGACGAGACCATAAGTCTCGACCCCACAAGGTCGAAAATGCTCGCTATCTACCGTCGCCGACAACGAACTACTTGACGCCTAATTTGGGCGTTTTGCCGTAGATGGCTGTGCAAATCATGTACTGTGGGTGCTTGGCACCCTTGACGAGTTAATCTCGACGCAGAACTAATCACTACCTCAGGAAAGGTGAAAAGGAGGAACTCCCCTTAATAGCCACAAGAATACTTTTTCTTTTTATTAAGCGTTACTTCACTCAGCTCTCTCAACAGGCTCTCCGTCAGAGTCTCTCTGGACAGCGTCGCATCGCGCTCGTTTCCTTTTTCTCGCGCGCTACGCAGCGACCTAATGGTCGATCCCCACGTACCACCGATACCACCACCACGTCATACCACAGACCAGAGGTGCCAGCAGAGATGCCAGAAAAGCACCGCCGGGTGCACACGCACACATGCCAGATACGCGTACGTGAGCTCGTGGAGTTTCGGAAAGTCGACAAAGGCAAACTGACGCATGCCCTCTTTCTCGATTCTACCAAGCTACCCGAAGTTATTTCGGACCGCCTCGTGGGAGTCGAGAGAGAAAGACTCACATTTGCCTTCTCGCTCTTAACAACTGAAATCCGACCTCCCGTCAACGGCATAAGATTTGGATTCTTGAGCCGAGATTCTCAACTGCCCAGGCATTTTTACTTTCCGACCTATGTAGGCACACATAAGCAAAGTACCAATAATGAAAAAAAAATTTTGTAAAATTTATTTTACGGAAATACACGTTTTAGAACCCCTTGATCATATTTTAACTATTAAAAAAAAGACAGTTTTTTACTACGCTTATGGACGTGCGTTCATATATTTATACTATTAATACTATTGGGCCTAAACAACCGAATGAATTTCACTGTAATTTTAAATTTTTAAATCTGAAAATATTTGAGAATACTGTCCTATTTGTCCTCTTTATTTATTTAATTAATTATTTAAGAAATAATAAAATTTATGTAATTTTATTTTCTGTCTCACTTCCTCTTGTGTTAATTTCTAAATCTGTTGATAAAGTTGCAAGTGACACGAAAATGGTAATGGGGTCCCGGGACCCCAGAGAAACGGGCCGAAAAAATACATTAGGTGAAAGGTCTACTCGTATACCTCGTCTGTGATACTAGTTCCTTCACATTCATTTTCCATTGAAATATAATTCTCGCAAATTGTTTCTTTTACTGCTTATACGTAATTAGAATCAATAAGTAAAATAGTATTAATTATTTTAACAATTATGAGGATGAATAGGATTGTATGAAATGAAAAAATAAAGACAACTCAATCTTATGTCATGTCCGTTTGTTATACATTAAACAGATCAGTATTTTTTGCAAATTCATTGCACACATATATTGATATTACATAATGATTATAACAATAATCGATTAGATAATAATTTGTGTAATGCATTGCCTTAGTTATTCAAATCTATAAAAGAAATTTATAAATTTGTTGTAAGTCTGTATGATATATTTGTTTTATAAATTCATTTTATTTGACAATAGCATTATCGTTTAAAAGAATTTCGATTATAATAGTATAGATGTACCAACACGTAAACCTACTTAATTTCATTGTTATTTTTTCTTAATTATATTTACATAATAACCTAATGTATCATTTTCCTTAAAATCTTTCTATCAAATAAAGTTTAATGGCAACTGAAAAAATTAGTTATAATACAAATATCTATGAAGAATCCACACAGAGACATATGAAACTTAACATAAGTTTTTAACATCAAACTTCAGTTCATTATCGTTAATTAAAACAGAGAAATATATTATTTATAAAGATTGATAATACACTGATGGACAAAATTATAATACATCCTCATAAAGAACTCATACTATACATACACTTAGTATAGAACAATAGTATATAGTTAGTATATGAACAATATTACATGTAAAATAAGATTATTTATTTTTAAGTAATATTTTCATGAACTAAACGAATAATATTACAAGAAATTTTCTATATAAACCTGAATAATACAATTTCACTTGGATAAAATTATAAGACACTATCTTTGAAAATGAATAAAATGTAGACAATTAAACAAAATTATTATATTTTTTATAATGTAGATTCGTCTTTATTTTATACTACATCGATTAGGCAAATTTTTGTATAATTTTTTTGTGCAAATTTCATCAGTCTATTCATGCACATAAAATCGCTCTTTTTAATTCATTAATCTTATTGTATTGATTACCACCTTTGTACAACTTTCTGTTAAGTTGTCTTCATATATTTTCTATAATATTACGATGCGGAGATCGTACTGGCCAATTTAATTAAATGGCATTAAAATAGTTTTTGTATAATTTTAGTTACATAATTAATTACGTTATCATTCTGCAATATAAAATCTTCTCCAACTAATCTACTACCATAGTTATGAATTTGTCCTTCGATTAATTTAAAAAAATCAGTACATTTTATTTGACCATCGACAAACTCGATTTCGATCTACTGTACTCTACTAACATCCACCTCACTTTTTACAACTGTTCTTTGATGTTTTGAAGAAAAAGTTGTTAGTTTTTCCGATCTCTTCTATTCTCTGTTTTAAATTTTCTTCTTTTGCTTTCAATTGTACAATTTCTGTTTTTAATGCTGGTTTTCCATGCTAATGATCTACCATATCGCATACTTTTAATTTTATTTTTTTTGTATTTTATATTAGCAAACTTGCTCCAATAAAAGGTTTCTAAGGCAATGTACACAAATATAAGTAGTGTCTCATAATTTTGTTCTACCTCAATTTCGGAATATTACTGGGAAATATTTTGATACTTTCTGTTTGTTTACATCTCGATAGTATTTTAGGAACATTATTTTTATATTCATTCTCCTTCTTTGTTAAGTAAGTATTGTTATACCTACATTAGTGTCAATCAAATAAGGTATTTTATAATTTTGTCCTCCAATGTAAATATCAAAAATATTTTATGCCAACTAATTAATAATGGATACGATAATAATTCCTTTCATACACACTTTAGAAATATTTCATAACATGTAATAAATAAAATATGCGATAAAATGTTCATGTAAGGAAAGTGTGAGTAAGATTGTTTGAGCAGTCATTCAACTTGAAATGTACATTCTAGCAAATAAACATACAAATATTTTAGCATGTTGTAATAATCTTACTCACACTTGTTGATTAGAAGTATAAATATGAAATATTTTACTTCAGATGGTGTTACATTTAAATTATAACAGTGCAAATTATTTCTTAATCGACTAAACCAAATTCTACATTTACAGGTGATTGATGGTCTTATGCATCATTGGAGTTGTTACTATGATAGCAATTTTCAATTACAAAATGTGCAAGTTCTTTTATACGTTCATATGGTCTTGGATCAGACATTAAAGTATTTAATTTCTCAAAACCTCCTTCTCGTACAACAAATATGCAATATCTATGAGCTGTTAAAAGAATAATTATCGTTCTAATACAAATTACTTGTGTTACTTATACTTTTATTAAGAGTTAAACATTCTTCTTAGCATGAATAAATAAAAAAAAAAAAGAAAGAAAAATCAATCATTCTCAATTTTTTTATAAGTATATTATTAAGAATTCTATTATGTAAATGATCAAAACTTTATCAAAAAAAAGCAATCTACAAGTTACAATAAAATTAAATTTAACAATGGTAAACTTACGGTAAACAGTCGTGAGATTAGCAAGAGCCCAAACTGCCCAATGCTGACATTGTGGTGTATGATATACATCTAACAAACGCAATAATGGTACAAACGAGCAGTAATTCATATGGCGTTCTGAAAATATATCCCACTGTTCAATAGCTTCAACCATAAGCTCAAGTATTTTATTCCTATTTGGTCTTTCAATTGTCCATGCTTCAACACCATCAGATGCTATATGAGCTAGTATACCAGCAGCATTATAAGGTATCTAATCATAGAACAAAGATTTCAAATATTGTAAAAGTACAATTATTGAGTGAATTATAGATATTAAAATACCTCAATGTTATCGCTACCAGAATGTAATAATTTTTCAACAAACATCATGTAGTCTTCTTGTACTAAATGTACTCTCAGATGTTGTATTTCAGCTATATTGCCTAATAATCCCATCATATTTTTTAATACTTCTTGTTTGTGACTATATTGCTGTAAAAACAAATCTTATTTGTAACAATATACTGCAATTTTCATCACTGATTTTATTTAAACTACAATAATACACGCCTTCACACATTTACGAAATAGCTCCATGCCATTTTCATTCAAAAATCGTTCGCAATTTATAGGTGTTTCATCGGTCATGTTCCACACTGTTGACCATATTACTTCCAAAATATCATCAAACACTTTAAAGCGAACTCTATATTGTATTAATTCAAGCATTGTCTTAATACAACCGAGGTTGCCTAATAAACGCTTCTCTCTGCCTGTTACATGGCATGCCAAAGTGTTCAAAATATATATTCCAATTCGTTGAATATACCCTCCTTGATGTGTGTGTTTAACCGAATGTAAAAGTAGTTTCACCAATGTTTCATAATTTGACATCTCATAGAACATAAATAATATGTTACAATTAGATATATTTTTATCATCCACAAAATATTGTATAATATGAACAGCCATAACTAAATGTTCAATATAAATAATATGTAATATTTTGATTTATTACGTGATATAAGATCTTTATTTACTAAATAAAATCTTAATTTATTAGACAATAATTGCTTATTAAGAATGATGCAATCAAAAAGAATTTTTTGGTCTTTATGGCAGCATTTCTTGAACATATTAAAAATTTGGAATACTACGTAAAACTTTGATTTATTACATTGTATAAGATCTTTATTTACTAAATGAGATCTTAATTTATTAGAAAGTAATTGCTTATTAAGAATGATGCAAACAATACAAATTTTTTGGTCATTATGTAGCATTTTTTAAGCATATGAAACGATTTTGAATAATATGCAACATTTTGATTCATTACATAATATAAAATCTGTATTTACTAAATGAAATCCTAATTTATTAGAAAACAATTACTTATTAAGAATGATGCAATCAACAAGAATTTTTTGGTTTTTATGGCAGCATTTCTTGAGCACATAAAATTATTTTGAATCCCTTTTATGTTTTGTCCTGAACGGAAAAAAAAATTCTTTTTGATTAAATTTTAAAATACAGACTAAATGTTATTAATTTAAATAGGTATGATACATACAATATCCTGTGGTAAACGGAATTGACATAATATTAGGCAAACATTGCACATTATACTTTCCTCGTTTTTATACATGCTCATTCCAGTAAGAAGAGTAGAAACAATTCTTTCTTTCAATCGCGGTTCTAACTCATTTTTTTCTTTCATTTTTATGACACGAAGTAATGTTCCACTGTAAAAGAATCATATTCTGTATCAAAGTTTTTAAACATATATGTATTTCTCAACATGTAACTTATTCTATTATTGATGATTGAATACCTCCCATGTATTTGTATAGGTTTTTCTAGTGGATGCTTTTCCATTGCCTCTAATATTGCACAAAGTGCTTGATCCATTCTATGACAATTTTCAAATCTGTACACGCGATAAAGATCATTCAGTACTTTCAATAACAAACCAGGTCTATTATTCATATAAACATGAGCTGCAACCAATATCTGGTCTTCATTTGCATCCCCTGCTATCTAACATTCAAAAATACAATAAACTTAGGAAAATAAACATTGAAAATATCATATAAAAATAAGTATTATGTAATGTCTTTTTGTTATCATTTACCAATTTTGCTGGAATATTACGTCGTCTACAAGCCCCATCATTTGTTCCATAGAGCCCCAAAAATTGTAAAGGTCTGTCTAGTCTGGAAGCAAGACCTGGTATATCACAATGCTTGCTATTACTAATATCATCGAACTCAAAATAAGAGGAGTGTTCAACTGCTTGTATTCCACGGTCTACTATTTGTATTCCTGCTAAATTTGTTCCACTAATATCCAAAGAAGTTAATTGTGGCAAAACATTCACAATGTTGGACAGGATAGTATTAGGATTTTCAAATCTTCCTTGCGAAGACTCCAGTTGGGATATATCCAAATGCCTAATCACAGACATTACAATGTTACATTAAACATTTCATTTGAAACATTACATATTTTATAAAGTAAAAATAAATGAAAAACTATTAAGTACCTTAAATTTTTTAAATGGCAAATGCTGTTAACAAAAGCTTCTGCCTGAATATTAATTCTGGCATTATGTAAAATTAATGATACTAAATTAGGGAGCATGTCATAAGAATGAAGATAGACTATATAGAAATTGTTGGATAAATCTAGATGTGTCAAATTGCTTAATCCAGTGAAAAGTAAATTGTACTGCTGCGGCGGAAGTTTAATATATTCTAAAGCCAGACTTCGTAGATTTGGTATCTTGAACACATATCCTCGTTTGTCATATTCTGGTAATTTGAATTAATAATATTTTAGAAATAAAGTCTTATGACAACTAATATTGTTATTGTATAATCTACTTAATCGTACCGAATAAAAAAGAAAAATTATTTGTATTCTTACCATAAAATGCCGCCAGGTTGATGAAAGAATTCTTTCCTCGACATGCTAAACTGTGCAAATTACTTGCATTGGCATTAATATATTCAATAGCAGCTTCTGTGACATAAGGACAATCAGTAAGTTCTAATTCCACAAGTTTATGAGATATTAAAATTTGCGCTGATTGGTTAGTCATGTTAGATCTCACAACTTTGACACGTTTAAGTTTAGTTGTTGATGTATCACTGAATATATGAAAAATTTCATCATGGAATTCTATTGTATCACTTCGTAGAATGTATTCGATAAGTTTATCACATATGTCGGTCGGCAAAACCAATCCTTTCGAAAGGCTCCGTAAAGAGTTTTCTTTATCCCATTGCTCTTTTACCGAGATAATGTCTAAATTTTTGCAGATTACTCGAAAACAAAGTTCCGCCAAAGATTCAGGCCGTACGTATTTATTTAAATGAAATAAATATTCTATATCCGCCATTCTGTACGTTAAATGAAACAAATTGCGTAAAATGTTTCATACGAAAATATGGGCAACAATTACTGCCCATATCAACTGTCAATATGTCAAACGCATCAGCTGGCGCATCATTGCCTAAATTCGTTGCAGCAGAGTATCATTTTATTTACACCTTCTTTTCTCGCGATTAAAATAATAAGGGTAATATATATTTAATCGGCGCAATGCCGAATCACTCACAAATGTGTCGAAAATAATGTACTCGCTCTAGATAGTCAACGAAATTTATTCGACACAACTGGAACGCGACTATTACGTATATATCTACTCACTCGGAATTTGACATTTTACTTGACTACCGTAGTAACGCTACCCCCGAATACTTGACTACAACACATACAATACAACACAACAATTTATCAGCATAGCCTACGTACAATTAGTTACCTATCCTGCATTGCGCGAAATTCTGAATTTGTATGTATTTCAAGAAACTTTTAAATGATAATTAAATATTCAAAACTGAATGGCAATGTATTATAAAATATATGACAATAAAATATTTTATTTCAGGATCTTTAACAAATCACATGTTGTTAATTATAATACTTATAAACTTGTAAAATATTTTACATTTATTATATTTCTAGGTAAAAAATTAAAGTATAAAATAGAATCATCAAAATGTTTATATTTATGATCCACAGGCCATGCATGCATCTCCATTTTCAAGAGAACATGTCATAGCTTCGATGTCTCCATTACTTTTATTTTTCACCCATCCATTCTTCTGTGGAGTAGACAATTCTTCAACATTTCCATTTTCGGAATTCAGAGACTGATTAGCCATAACAGTATTAGTATTTCGTAATTTTAATTTATCAACTGTAAATTGAAGAGCATTCGCAGCCGGTTTTGTTCTCAAGTAATACATACCGGTCTTCAAACCCTGCAGCAATCGAATATTTTGTACGTTTATCAATAATATTAGAAATCTAAATGTGAAGCGAGAAGGATGTATTAATATAACTTTTTAAGCCTACCATTTGCCATCCATAAAAATGCATTGAAGTTAATTTTTCTGTCGTTGGTTTAGCCATATGAACATTTAATGATTGTGATTGATCAATGAACGCACCACGATCTGCTGCCATTTTTAAGATCGTTTTTTGTGATATTTCCCAAACAGTTTTATAAAGTATTTTCAAATCTGCTGGTATACGTTCAATTTCCTATGGAAGTCAACTCATATTAATATACGTTCTTCAAAGTAATTATTTAGTAGTATAAATAAAAAATGTACACAGTATTAACCTGAATAGAGCCATTATTTGCTATTATTTCATTTTTCATATCCTCATCCCATAGATCTCTTTCAGTTAAATCTCGTAATAAGTGAGGATTCACCACTTGAAATTCACCAGATAATACTCGTCTTGTATAAATATTACTTGTATATGGTTCTATAGATTCATTATTTCCTAAAATTTGTGCAGTAGAAGCTGTTGGCATGGGAGCAATTAGCAGTGAATTTCTGACTCCATGTTTTGCAATTTTTTCTTTCAATGATTTCCAATCCCACAAATCAGTTGGGGTGACATCCCACATATCGTATTGTAAAATCTAAAAATGTTAATAACATTATTTATATGCTATGACATCGCAAAGAAAATTATTATAAATTTAATATTAAATTATACTTGAATTATTCCTACAATTTAGTTTACTTACTCCTTTACTAACTGGACTGCCTTTGTAAGTTTCATATGTACCCTTTTCCATAGCGATTTCACAACTAGCCTCTAATGCACTATAGTATAATGTTTCAAATATTTGAACATTAAGTTGTTGTGCCTCTTCACTTTCAAATGGAAACCGCATTAAAAGAAATGCATCTGCTAGTCCTTGTATTCCAATACCTACGATACATGTGACACATATTTTTATGATTATGAATAAATTAACATATTTGCACTGTGCATAATGATTAAAGACATTTACCAATAGGCCTATGTCTTAAATTTGATGTTTGTGATTCCGGAATTGGATAGTAATTAACGTCGATAAGTTTATCCAAATTATATGCAACAGTTTTTGTTACTTTACGAAGTTTTTGGAAATCAAAAGTTTTATTAATAGTATCCACAAACATATTAACGGCGATTGAAGCCAAATTACATACAGCAACTTCATCTGGACTGGAATATTGTACAATTTCTGTACATAAATTACTACACTTAATTGTTCCAATATTTTGATGATTTGATTTACGATTACAATGATCCTTATAGAGCATATAAGGAGTCCCTGTTTCAACTTGTGAAATAAGAATGGCAGTCCATAGATCTCTGGCTTGAATTTGTCGTTTATATCGCTTCTCGTTTTCGTACCTAATACAGCATATTTGTATAAGAATAATAAACATTTAATTGCGTAATATTAAATGATGTACCGTGTGTAAAGAGCTTCAAATTCATCGCCCCACACATCATGCAGGCCAGGAGATTCATGCGAACACATTAAAGTCCAAACACCATTTTCTAAAACTCTTTTCATGAAAAGATCAGGAATCCATAATGCATAAAATAGTTCTCTTGCTCTATTCTCTTCTTTACCTATTAATCATAATTAAACATAATATTATGCAAATATGAAAGTATTATTAAATGTATATTTAATCAGGAATTTACCAGTATTTTTTTTTAGATCCAAAAATTCAAAAATATCTGCATGCCATGGTTCTAAGTATATAGCAAATGCTCCTGGTCTTTTATTTCCACCTTGATCGACATATCGAGCTGTGTTATTAAACACTCGGATCATTGGGACCAAACCATTAGATACACCAAGTGTACCAGCTATTGGTGTACCCTTTGCTCTGATACAATGTACATTGAGTCCAATACCACCAGCTGATTTACTAATAAGTGCACAATTTTTTAATGTATTATAAATTCCTTCAATGCTATCTTCACTCATTGTTAAGAGAAAACAACTGCAAAAAAAAAATGAATTTTAAATTATGGAATGAAATGCATTTTATTATTTATATTAGGAATGTACCTAGACATTTGCTGTTTTATAGTGCACGCAGAAAAAAGCGTTGGCGACGCATGTGTAAAATATCGTTCTGATAAAAAATTATAAGTTTCTATAGCTCTATCGGTATCTTCACCATGGATAGCAACTGCAACTCTCATTAACATGTGCTGTGGTCTTTCAACAACTTTTCCATGTATTTTTAATAAATAACTTCTCTCGAGTGTTTTAAAGCCGAAATAATTGTAGCTAAAATCTCTCTCATAAATTATTGCAGAATTCAATCTACTTGCATTATTTTTTATGATATTGTAATATTTTTCACTAATAACAGGCCTGGGTCCATTCGTATATGGTTCCTTTACATTGTGCAAATCATGCATTACCTCTATAAATGAAACAAAGCAATTAATACAAAAATAAACCAACAAATTATTTAAATACAAATATATATATATATATGAAATTTTAACTTTGTAATTGTAAAATTGTAAAAACAGTAGATCAACTTAAAATATCAGCTATAGAACATTGCAAAATTTCTACTGGGAGAGAAATTACCAAGTATGTCGACTACAGAATGTATATCTTGCTTATGTTTGGTTTCACAGCAAAAGCATTTATGATAGTTTGTTGGTAATTAAGTTTAAAAACTTTTTTGTTCTATATAAACGATTAACAGGTGAAACCTTGTGCAACAGTTAATATTAAATATAATTAATGAAATACCACTAAAACTTTTCTTCGTTTCCTTATGAAGATTTGAAACTGCAATCCTTGCAGCTAATATAGCATAATCTGGATGTTTAGTAGTCATAGTGGCTGCAATTTCTGCTGCAAGATTATCCAACTCGATTGTAGTAACTCCTGAATACAAACCATTGATAACACGGAAAGTAATAGCGGACTATAAACAAACAAGTAAAAATGCCATCAATTTATCTTATCGTAACAAATTGTGGATAGTTTTCATTTAAAAACAACAATGAATAATGAATAGTTAATAATGAAACCTACAGGGTCCACATAATCCATGTCTAGATTGTAACATAATTTTTGAATTCTGGATGTTATTTTGTCAAAATGAACATCTTCCTTTTGCCCATCTAACAGTAGTAAAAATTAGTTTAATATTATAATTATGTTCGTACGTAATAGATTTCATGGAATAGTAGTGCAAATAGATTGCATTTTACAATACTTACTGCGCTTTATTACATACATCTTCCCTTTTCCAACCATTATAGTTCACAATAATGTAGTCTTAAATCAACAAAACTTCTTAAATTTTTCTTAATTTTATGTTTGCTTTTGCACAGTATTCTTTCAGATTGTATCGTACTAATCGAAACAGAAGCAGTTCACAATGTTCACATTCACATGCCGGTAGGCTCTCAGCTTGGATGTAGGGAATGGTCATGTGACAGCCATAAATGATGTTTGAATACGAAGACGCATTCAACGGTTTCTTAACCGTTACAAATGTTCCCTGTACAACATTTGAATAAACTTATTTTCCTTTTCTTATTAAATTGCTGTTCCTTAGTAATTTCTTCGCAAAGAAATAAACGAGAATTTTTAAAAATTGCTTTCCAGATAAAGAAACTTCAACAATTTGTGATACTTTTGTAATGTATGAAATTGAGAAGAAAATCTTTACGGAAATTCAAATTTAGTTTATTTTATTATCATTACAATTTATTTAATAATTATCGACGATGCATATAGTGGCCATATTGTTCGATAACCTTTTCCCATTAACGAGTATTTTTACTAAATGATTTTCTTTCACGCCTTATGATCTAATAAATGATCAAACATTCAGAATATAACTGATCGATAATAAATAATTGTAAATTAATTAATTATTAAAATACAAATTATTTGTTTTATATTTTAAGAAATCAGATAATTACTTTATTGGTTAAATTAACAAATCAGTTTGTATTATCTGACAAATTATTGCATGCAAATTAATTACATTAAACAGTTTAACAATTTTTTCTTTTGTTATTTATAATATATTATAACACATAATATCGCCTTCCTACTTCTGAGCTTCAACTTTAACTAAACGGATAATTCATTTATGACCCTGAAATTATAGTAACTCTCTGGTAGAGAAAGTGCTCACAAAATGTTTCCGGCTGTCATTGCTTCATAGCTCATTTCCGTCTTTCATTATTTTAATATTACAATTCCAGTTACGCACACGTTTTTGTTTAATTTCCTTGGCTTTTAATCATTATATTCTTTTTATTACGAATCTAACCCGGAGATACACGGTACATTTATTATTTTTGTCGACCAAGGAAATTCTACGTTATAAGAAAAGTTACTATTCCTATTTTTACTTTCGTAACAAAGAATTGAATAAGATTCTAACTGTTGATTGTTCGATCGATCCAAAAAATACACAAATATTATACTTCACATTATAATATTACATTGTCGATTCACCTCAGAAATGTACAGCGCATCGATTACTTTCGAACTTATTTCGCAATATAATATCCATTATATTTTCTGTTACGATAAAAGTCACAAGAAATAAATTGTACTAAAAGCGAATAATTATTATAAGAAATTACGAAATAAGTCATTTTTATCCGCTCGGTGGATCCAGCGTTTAAAACAATAATCGCAAAATACCAGTTTAGGAGGAACAGCATGAAACGTGACTTACATCAGTATGATTTTCAACCCATTTGTTAACGGAGCCTGTACCAAAGCGCTTTTGGTTTTTCGGGGCAGAGTCAAGATCAAGCGTGGTCCGCCGTATTTTAAACATGTTCATCAAAGAAGGAAGCAATTCGCCAGCCATCGGTGTGGTCAATCAGTTATTACTGGACTCCGGTGCTCTCTTATCATTCACATAGTGCACCTAAATATAGAGTGACACTGTGGCACTAATTTGTTGAATGAAACGATAGGTGTGTTGGTGCTTGGGGGACTGAACGGCATTGTGGGGTAGATCTGCAGAGTATAGCAGAAATCTCGACGCTCGCCTTCGCGAGCACGATTTGTGAACATAACGACCGGGCCAACGCACGACCACACTCCTCGTATAATTTTTTCTTTTCTACGACAGTTAATGGATTGTTATCGGCAATAAATATCGGTACCAGTGGAAATATCGTTCGGATCTCGTCGTGAAATTGTGCACGTACGTACATTGCTCGAACTGCATGGCGACAGAACAGTAATCCTGTTCCGCGGCCGCGATCACGGTTGTTAATAAAGTGTCAGTTACTACTTGATCAGTGATCACGTTATAGGTCTATTCAAGACTAGCTGTTCCGTTCGGTTGAAAAAAAACGTTTCCAAATGTCTCTTCCTTCGACCATTTTCTTTCTCTGTAAAAGACATTAGCGTAAGACGTGACCATTACATCTACAAAATTTCTTACGATCGACGTTAAATCTTAACACTTCCTTTTTTTCGCGGATATAGATAAACTTATTCTATATACTATTTTATACGTTAACGGACCTTTCGTTAAGTTTTAATTAGAAATCGTCCTTCTGTATTCTTCGTTCCGAAACACCGACTGGACGTATTCTAAACTTTATTTACGTTCATTCATTCAAGCCAGTTTGCTATACAATTGAGCTTACCTTGTGATCGAAAAGTACCCGGAATTTGTCAATAAAACGAAAACGGTTCAATTATTCATCGGTATTTATTTTATTCCCTTCAAAGTAATTTCCGTTTCAAGCAACATATATATTTCAATGCTTCTTTCAATCGTCAAACCACTTTTCACAGGCCGGTTTTGGAATCGCCTTCAGCCCCTTCTGCGAATTCTCCTTGATCGCCTCGATCGTCTGAAAACGCTTTCCATTCCGATGATTGTTGGTTCGTTTCGATGTCATATTGATAGACCCATGGTCTCATCACCGGTAATAATGCTTTCGATAACATTTTGGCCCAAAGAAAACATTTCTTTAGCGACAGCAATGCGATACTCTTTCTACAAAACATTCAGCACTCTCGAACAAAACACCAATATTGGCTGCTATCTCCCTGATGCTCGCACGACGATTTTCGAGCACAATTTTCTTAACTTTTTCAATGGTTTCGTCAGTCGCAGAGGTAGATGAACGACCGGAACTTCGGACTCCGTAGGCTACCGTTAACATTTTCAACACTTCCGTGCATGATATTTTGTTAGAAGCAAAAAATTTCAGGCGGACAATGACTTGCTTACAAGGCTGACAAATGTATCAACTTAGAAAAGAAATGATTTTGACAATATCTCAAGCATTTCATGAGAAATTCCGGATTTTTCTTTTATCACAAGGTACATATTACGCAATCGAAGCGCAGAAGTTACAAATCGCTTCGGAATACTGTCTTTAAAGGAACGTTGCACCCGTGAATTCGATGCTGGTTTATCTTCGAAGACCAGTTCATTCTTTAATCTAACATGTATAACAGATAAAGCACTTAAGGTGGAACAATAAATTCTTTATCTATATATCAATTAATTCTTTACCCTCGACGCAGTGAATTGAAAATTTACATTGACACGATACCATTGTGGCGTGACGTTCGCGGATCGAAGTTCGCTGTTTCACGTGGTGTTCGCCGATGACCGCTTTTTTTCGCCGATGATTAATTTAAAATGGGACAAGGTTGCCCGATGGGAACAACGTTTGACAAACGTGATTCCCGGAAGTGGCTCGTTGTCTGTCATCCATCATCATCAAGACCCTTGCACAACAGTGTCTCACGTAACGACGATGACCGCTGAACATTTAAAGTTCCTCAAAAATGATCGAGACATCTTTCATCTATTACTCGTTGCAAACTTGTCCGCGCCAATCGTTCCATTTAATTTATGAATCATAACTTTCGCGCCAAAACGTCGCAATATATCGCAATATGTATATTAATATTTGAATGCCGCGTCAACATTGGAGAGAACGGTTCGCGAGCTGTTCGCCAACGGAAACAGCAGCGTGTACCTGCACACTAAAGCTCGCGCACTACATACTCAACAAAGAAGTTATAAGCTTGTTCGCTATTAATTTTCGCCATATACGCATGTCAATGTACAAACTTTAACAATGCCTGAACAAGATCAAAATTCTATGAGATTGTGTTACGAACGCGTCCAGCTCGCGAACAGTGTTCGTTGTTCGCCGAGGAGCTCACTGTTCGCGAAACTGTTCAACACTGTGAACTTAAGTATCAATTGTTAATCGATGAGCAACGAACATCGTATGTACACTCGAAGGTATAAACTGATTTTATGGTATTCTTTGAGATACTTCTTACAGATTCGAGAGAGGTGTGGTAGGATGAGGTAAATTCAGTTGACCCTACATTCAGGACGAAAAATAATGCCTTCGAGCGGATCAGCCAAAGTATCTAAGGTAGACAGGTCCACAAGTCCTCTGCCACAAAAGCCCGTCAGTCCCGTCCAAGAACTAAAAGCCCTATTCGCTGAGCCGCCGTTGAGGGTCTCGAACGGCGGTAAAGATCAAGATTTACATTTCGAAGCTATTCAATGCTTGCAATCTACTACTTCTAAGGATTCGAAAACGCTGCCGGAGCGAGGCACTTGGAGTAGCAAGGTAAATGCACTGGAGTCGCGGCTGCGAATCGTAACATTGTATTCTTCGTTTCTAAATAAGGAAATCGAAAAAATTACTGGTAAATATATGTAGATAAAATACCGTTATTTTGCCATCTACAAGGATTATGACAGTATCGCCGATATTTACCGGTATAAGTCCCTGACGGAATCTTCTTCTGCCGCAGGTCGAGTTCATTTTATCCGTAGTTGGTTTGGCAATAGGACTGGGAAACTTGTGGCGATTTCCTTACCTCTGCTATAAAAATGGCGGCGGTGCTTTCATGGTTCCCTATTTTATCGCTCTCGCGCTCGCCGGGGTGCCGATGTTCCTGATGGAATTGTCTTTAGGTCAGATGATGACCATAGGTGGATTGGGTGTCTTCAAGATAGCTCCTATCTTTAAAGGTTTGAAACTATGATTTTGTTTACTTGTGGATCGTTCGATTACCACGACAATGGGAACGAATATTATCCTGTGACATTCAACTTTTTTACAAACAGGTATCGGTTATGCTACGTGCGTGCTCTCCTGTTGGACGAACGTGTACTACATCATCATACTGGCGTGGGCGCTCTTTTACTTTTTAGTCTCATTGCGAATCGGTATGGGCATGTTATACACGATGTGTTCTATGCATCGTCTAGAATTTTCTCGCAATTTGTTTTGTGTAGACGTGCCGTGGAGAACGTGCGATAACTCCTGGAACACACATTACTGCCTCACCACCACGGAACGTTTGGAAGCGACGTGTTGGCCCGAAGACGACGACACTATATGCGCCACTTCCATCGGTAACGTAAGTCACGCATTGCTGAGGGATCCGGTGAAAGAATTCTGGGAGTAAGTTCGCACGGTAAAGGAAAATATGAAATGTTTCATTCGGAACAATTGTTCGATCGTTTGTTTTTCTTTTTCCTCGAAAAGGAGACGCACCCTTCAAATTTCCGACGGCGTAGAGGACGTGGGTGGTGTAAGATGGGAATTGGCGGGCACGTTGGCCGTCGTCTGGATCATGTGCTACTTCTGTATTTGGAAAGGCGTAAAATGGACTGGAAAAGTAATTTTAAACAGCAGTGCGCTTAGAATGTTACTTTTTATATAAAAGAAAAAAAAAATATTAATTTTAATCGTTTCGCTTAATAGCTTATTACATACGGAAGCAATATTTTTTTGTTACATGATATTAAGAACTGCCAAAAAGAGATATTTCTACATATTTCTCTCAAACGGAACGTATATATTAATAATCATCAATGATCGCACAGGTTGTTTATTTTACATCATTATTCCCGTACGCATTGCTGGCTCTTTTGTTGGTAAGAGGATTAACGCTTCCAGGAGCGATGGAAGGTTTAAAATATTACGCAACACCAAATCTTTCGAAACTCGGCGATCCCGAAGTACTGAAACGTTAATTATCCTTACTTCTTCAAATGCTGCGCTTCGCTGGATTACGATTTAATTAATATTTCGATAAATACTCGTAGGTGTGGATAGACGCAGTGACACAAATATTTTTCTCTTATGCGCTGGGTTTAGGAGCACTGGTTGCCCTCGGAAGCTACAATAAGTTCAACAATAACGTTTATAAGTAAGTAGCTTAAGTACTTCCTTCGAATAATGCTCGCTTCTTCTATCAAGTAATTTCCTTCGAGCATACAGTGTGGTCCACTTAAATAGGAACATGTAAATATATCCGTGGTACTAGAATGATAATGATATTTGTGTTTTTGTTATTAATGAAAAAAAAAAACGAAATTTGTTTAATTCTTTTCTTTTTATTCAAAGCTCTGAAATTTTAAGTACTTGACTCTATTTTATATTACTTATTTGTATTTGTTTCAGGGATGCGCTCATCGTCTGTACAGTGAATTCATGTACGAGTATGCTCAGTGGTGTAGTAATATTTTCTGTAGTCGGTTTCATGGCTCACGAACAACAGAAACCTGTTGCTGACGTAGCTGCCTCCGGTAATTAAAATTTATATTAAATTAAGGAACAGTATGCATATATTTGTCTTTTTTTAATATTTCTATTTTTGTAATTGTTTTAACTAGGTCCAGGATTAGCATTCCTGGTTTATCCTTCCGCGGTTCTTGAGTTACCTGGATCATCAATTTGGGCTTGTTTATTCTTTTTCATGCTTATTCTTATTGGCTTAGACAGTCAGGTAACTTAAAATATCTTAACGAAACTGCCTTCGATAATTACGATCGATTATTATGTTTTATAGTTTTGTACAGTTGAAGGCTTCATAACAGCCGCGGTAGATGAGTGGCCGCACGTTCTCAGAAAACGAAAAGAGTTGTTCATAGCAATTGTCTGTTTTATCTCGTATCTGATTGGTCTTACTTGCGTTACTGAAGTGAGTAAATTAGTTAGTTGATTACTCTCGCTATATGATGCGTAATTAAAATAAGACGCGTAACACAAAATGTTCTCGTAATATTTTCAGGGGGGAATGTATGTATTTCAACTCTTAGATTCATATGCCGTGAGTGGATTTTGTCTACTCTTTTTAATGTTCTTTGAGTGCATTGCTATTTCGTGGGCATTCGGTGTAAACCGCTTTTACGATGGTATTCGTGATATGATTGGTTATTATCCGTGTTGTTGGTGGAAAATATGTTGGACATTTACTACTCCTGTCATTTGTGTGGTAAGATATTTAATTGCAAAGTACATATAGTGTCCCGTAACTAGTGTAAGAACCGGAAATGGGGGGTAGCTGAGACGATTCTGAACAACAATTTCCTTTTCAAAAATGTCGGATGGGGCTTCGTTTTTGAATTATTAACGAAAAACACTGACCAATCACGGCGCGCGCCTACCGCGCGCTCAAGGCCGTCCGAACTCGGAGAGCCCATTTTAATTTTCTGAAAATAATTCTTATTTTAATTTTAAAACACTCTGGCGAGAAGCGTCACTCGGGTGCGAAGGGTTAATTTCCTAAAAATTCCAAGATTTTATTCCTTTTTCCTCGGAAACAGCGAATACAAATAATTAATAAATTCGATTTAGTAATTTACGTAGTAATTACGTAGTAATTAACGAATTAGGTAACACTAGTTACGGGACACCCTGTATAGGATAAACTGTATAAAGCGTTACAAGCTATTTCCCTAGAAATGAATGAAAATATCGACTTCATTTTGTTTGTTAATTAAATTTTTTAGGAAGTCGATCGAAAAAAACGGAGGTCTTTAAATTTTTTCAGAATAGCATTATTTTATTAAATATCAAAATGATGATCTTGGATATTTAATAAAAATAAGAAATTAATGTTTTGTAACACTTTGTATGGGGCCATTCTATATAACTTCTAGCTACTATTTCTGATGTTATAAAATATTGACTAAAACAATAAGTAATAAAAATGAAATTTGAAATTAGGGCGTCTTCACATTCAACATAATTAAGTTTGTCCCTGTGAAATACCTTACATACGAGTATCCATGGTGGAGTCATGTATTAGGATGGCTGTCTGGTCTTTCGTCAATGTTATGTATTCCGGGTTACATGATTTACATTTGGTGCACAACATCAGGAACTACCTCTGAGGTATATAACTGAAAAATGATCTAGAAGTTGGAATCCTGTAATACTTACACTTATTAATTTCATAAAATATGAGGAACATTTTTCTTTCAGAAATTCCGAAAATTGATAAGAATAGAAGATGATGTTGCCACCCTAAGAATGAAATTGAATCCAACCAAAGCTGCCACTATTAGTGCAGAACTTGAACTATAAGTGCATTGTGCCCTTATTCAACGACCATGGATGATGCATATGTGTTATTTCAAAGTATGACTGGGAGAAGCATGATTTCATATATTGAACAATGTCATATCACATAATCATTTACCATAATAAATAAAAACCAAATGTGAGTACAAAGTAAAATGCATTGATGATAATAAGGTACAAATTTACAGTAAAATGAAGAGCTTGAATTTCAAAATCTAAAATGCAATTAAGATAAAATAAATAATTTTATTTCTTATAATTTACACAATGTTAGATTTCTCTCCTGTATACAACTTAAGACAGTGCATTATACCTAATACACAGAAATTTGCAAAAATATATAAAATGTAATTTCATTTTTATTAATATAGAAATGTAATTTAGATCTGTAACTTAAAGAAACAAAATGAAAACATTACCTTTCCAATTTGTAAGAAACCACATGCATTATTTCATGTAAAAGCATTAATTAAAATACTTAAATTTACTTTTCCCTATTTTGTATTTCTTTAATACGCCCAATAAGTTGTTCTTTCCATTCATCTTCAGATATAGTATTTGCCCATTCTGGAATTGCTGCTGTAGGTAACGTGAAAGTTGCCATCATGGATTTTACTTGATTGATTTTGTCTGCATCCATATCAATATTTGATCGATTACGAGGGGATGACCAAACTTCAATTGTTTCTGACATACAATCCTATGCACAATGTAAATTAATACAAATACATACAGTAACATTAGTTTTGTAGTCTACATAAATACTTACTTGTTGTGGTTCTAGTGACGAGAGTGACAATGTTTGACTAGATTCACCTGCATTAGATACCCATTCATCATCCTAAAAGGTAAAATATGTGTTTTAACAAAAATATTGACCCTATATAAATATCGAATCATAAAATGAGTGTTATACTTCATCTTCATACAACATTGGATCACTATCTGTAGGTACTTGAGATAAAGGTATGTATCCAGCCATTCCTGCATCATCATCCTCACTGTCTGATTCATTCATTCCTCTAACATCAATTTGTAAATTTGGTGCATTTAAAGTTTCCTCTATAGGTTGTTGCGTTGGATCCGGAGACATTGTGCATTACTTATGTTTACTATACTTCTTACTTTCGCCCTAAACATACATTCACCTATTCTGTCACAGTCGGAAATTTTTAACCTAATTTTTGTATATGACAATATTTCTCGTATTAAAACTCGTAAAACGTGTTTCGTATAACAGAAATGGAATTCTGATTATACGACTAATATTTCTCTTAAAATATTGCTAATCAAATTAACTATAAATGACAAAAAATTAATCGCAATAGAGAAATTTGACAGCTCACAGCTGATTTCGAACTTCCTGTAACCGCTTCGTAGCTTTGCAGATAAATCGTTAAACTTAAGATAAATATTATAAGAGGTAATCTTTTTCAATATTTATAAATAAAAACTTACGCCAAACTGTAAAAAATGTACATATTCGCAATATTTTATTCAAAAAATGTGTAAGAAATAAAATCAACTAATTTTTTCTCAAATTACAAATTATACACTCAAGCAGTTATTTAAATGATGTAAATATCAGAAAAAATTCTTTAACAACGTTATTTATACAAGTAATGATAAAATATTCAAATAAACGAAATAAAGAATAGTTTAGTAAAACGTTAAAGTACGCAGAATTAAAATCGAGTTACAAAATAAACCTAACATCCAATGAAAGAGTGTGGCACGCAAAAAATAAATTAAGAACTTATTAAACATACTGTTAAAAGAACAAAATTTGTTTGATCGATAATCGATTCAAATTTTTTTTAACAATTTTTTTATTTTAGAAGAGAAATGAATTAAATATTCGCCCTTAGTATTATACACGGAATAAAATTCTAAATGCATTAAATTGTTATTCAATTTTCTGGTAGAATAAAATAATGTCGTGCTTGAACTTGAAAAAAAAATATAGGTAACTTTTACGTGTACAGGTTAATTATAAGCTTAATTTTAGATTCATCGTAAAAGCGTTGAAAGAAGACATTATATCTACCTCGGAAGTTTTTTAATTTTAAAGCGTGTAAATTTAAATGACGGATATTCCTATATCTTTCTTTTTTTCAACTTGTGAGAAGAAAAAGAAAGACATACCAACGTCTGCCATTTCGATATTCATTTGCTAGCTAAGGCAAAGGTGCCAGAAGCCTCGAGAATCCAAATCGTATGCCGTTGACGGAGGGTCGGATTTCTGTTGTTAAGAGCGTGAAGGCAAATGTGAGCCTTTCTCTCTCGACTCCCACGAGGCGGTCCGAAATTACTTCGGCCAGCTTCGGAGAATCGAGAAAGAGGGTATGTGTCAGTTTGCCTTTGTCGACTTTCCGAAACTCCACGAGTTCACGTTCGCGTGATCTGGCATGCGTGGATGCTTTCTGGCACCTCTGAGCTAAGCTAGTTTTAACATTATTTCTACTAAAGGAGTCAAAAAACCGTGATAAAAATAATATTAAGGTCAAAGTGTACAATTATTGGTTAAGTAGTTTTTCCCTAGAATCGCCATGTTTAAACCAGAGATGCCAGAAAAGCACCGCCGGGTGCACACGCACACATGCCAGATACGCGTACGTGAGCTCGTGGAGTTTCGGAAAGTCGACAAAGGCAAACTGACGCATGCTCTCTTTCTCGATTCTCCGAAGCTGCCCGAAGTAATTTCGGATCGCCTCGTGGGAGTCGAGAGAGAAAGGCTCACATTTGCCTTCTCGCTCTAAACAACTGAAATCCGACCTCCCGTTAACGGCATATGATTTGGATTCTCGAGCCGAGATTCTCGACTGCCCAGGCATTTTTACTTTCCGACCTATGTAGGCGCACATAAGCAAAGTACCCATAATGAAAAAAAAATTTTGTAAAATTTATTTTACGGAAATACACGTTTTAAGACCTCCTGATCATATTTTAATTATTGAAAAAAAAGACATTTTTTTTTATTCCCATGTATGAGCACACATATGTATATTATTAATACGATTTTTGAAAATCAAAATACTTTAAGATTGAAAATTAATAAATTAAAATGAGATTCCCCTCTTTACCAGTATTGTGCACGCTGTGGTATTTTTCAATAAGAAGAGTACTTACTTTTATAACATAAACAAAACAGTAGAATTAATAATTACAGAAATTAATTAATAATGATTTTCCTCGATTGTTTTGAAATAACCGTATCAATTGGTTATGACGAACTAAATAGAACTAACTAGAAACAAAGGAAAAGTGATCCCGTTTGCCAGTTTAATACAAAGTATGGGTTGTATCTTAAATTTTAAAAGGACATAGTCGAATATTTTTAAAGGTACAAAACATAGCGTTTCATTGTAGAACAGTAACATAAGTTAGCAGGTATGTCATAAAACTGTTTTTCCCAGCTATATCCCTTTTTACCTGAAGTATAAGGTAAAAAGTACGAGCTACAAGGTACGACTATCCGAAAATCGTTCACATTTTATCAATGTAAATGAAGCGGCCTTTCCATCAGAGTTAAATACAAAATTTTGTAATTTCTGTGAAAACAAAACTTTCAGTAAATGTACGTGGTGCCTGAAATTTTTATGTTTTGACTGTTTTTGTGAAAAGTACCATCCAGATTCATGTACTTCGTACATTGAAAATAACATATGTTAAATGTAATCGGTTAAATTTAACTTTAAAAAAAAATATTCGAAGGTCAGACAAAAATATAATGTCACATTTAGTGTACGATTAAAATATGATTGAAAAAATAAAAAAAAAGGATTTGTTTTGGCAGGGTTTGAACCTGCAGAGCAGAAGAAGTTCGGAACTTGCAGGCAAAGACCTCATCACTCACGCCACGCTGATCAGTGGTGAACATAGTTCTATTTCTGAAAATAAGTACCTGTAATAACTTTAATAATATCTCAAAGTAAAACCTAACCCAAAACCTGGTACCATTCCAATTTTTCCTTGTTAGAAACGAGTTTTCAATTTGTCTTAGCGAAAATCGCAATCACATTTTGCACATTATTCTAAAACATTTGTGGTATTCGTTTTCAATGCGATTTAAGTAAGCATGTAATGTATAAGATTTCATTTAATGTTTTCTTTTCTAGAGAAGATAGAGAAAAAGTTTATATAATTTTTTTCATATAAAATTTAATTCGTCCTAAGATTTATATGAAACATTTAAAAGATTTTTTATACATTATGCCTATATATCGGAACAACTATGAAACAAGAGGTATAATCTGTAAGGAGTGTATGTGTGTGGCTAGGAGAACCGTTATCGTTTGCGTCGATAGGAGTGTTTAGTCTAAGCTAGAGTAGGTATCGAGTGAGGTGTTTAGGTTTAAGCTGAAATACGTTTTAGAGACTGCGTCTCGAACGTGCGTTTTGTTTAGATCATTATTATAAGATAGGAATAAGGAAGGGTCAACTTTGACTGCAGGAACGTCACTCTGTATCGAACGTTAGTCGAGAGCAATCACAGTTTTACGTTTACGTTTTATGTCTTTCTTTTATGTTCTTTATGTTAAATAGTTAGTAAATATTAAATAATATAATTACATCGTTACGTTTAGTGTTCACGTATTTGAATCCGTCCACACGCCTTTGAAATGAGAACATAAAACTTAAATGTAAAATTTCATTTAAATTCATTCAGCTATTTATATTCAATCGTATTAATAATATACATATGTGTGCTCATACATGGGAATAAAAAAAATGTCTTTTTTTTCAATAATTAAAATATGATCAGGAGGTCTTAAAACGTGTATTTCCGTAAAATAAATTTTACAAAATTTTTTTTTCATTATGGGTACTTTGCTTATGTGCGCCTACATAGGTCGGAAAGTAAAAATGCCTGGGCAGTCGAGAATCTCGGCTCGAGAATCCAAATCGTATGCCGTTGACGGGAGGTCGGATTTCAGTTGTTTAGAGCGAGAAGGCAAATGTGAGCCTTTCTCTCTCGATTCCCACGAGGCGATCCGAAATTACTTCGGGCAGCTTCGGAGAATCGAGAAAGAGGGCATGCGTCAGTTTGCCTTTGTCGACTTTCCGAAACTCCACGAGCTCACGTACGCGTATCTGGCATGTGTGCGTGTGCACCCGGCGGTGCTTTTCTGGCATCTCTGGTTTAAACGTAGTGTGGTATTATATTTAAATAAGGTTGGTACTCTAATTCCTGAGACATAAACTTTCATGAATATTCGGCCTATCCCATATTTCAACGACGCTAAATCCGCCCGAATCGTATCTACAACATATTCTTCCATTATGTGCTACCTCTATGTTATGCTTAGTTTATGGTAGGTTACATCTAATTTTGTGATTTAATATCATTTCCATAATTTTATAATTTTTATAATATACTTGACACTAAATTATAAAGAATTTATTTTCTATTATTTAATATGATTATTTAAAATCGGTCTATTTCTACCACCCTCCATTGTCTCGAATTGAATGTAGTCCATGGAAGGTTGAAGGTACAGCACCCAACCCTAGTCAATAAAAGAGACCCTATCTTTCTGTGCGACCAAGTCAGACCACAAGTTGCAAATAGAATAATAAAACCCTAACACCAATTAGGTATTACAGTTTTATCCCATCCCCTATACCCCTCTGATTTATTTCCAACCGATTTTCATTTCTTCCGTTTGTTTGACAGTTTCCTTAGAGAAGAACGATGTAGGAATCAGGAGGACGTCGAAAACGCCTTTCAACAGTTTTTTTCCTTCAGAGATTCCGATTTATGCGTGAAGAGTTAATGCTCTTGTAAAACGTCGGGTAAAGCGCATAAAAAACGATGGAAATTATTTTTAATAAAAATATCGAACTTCATCCGAAATTCCGAAAATTTCGGGATGAGCCAATACTTATGTCCGGCAGTGTATGCATCGTCAAGATCTCGTTCGAAAAGGTTACGTCGCACATGGTCGGACTGGCTCGTTCGGTGGCTTGGAATAAGAACAAGAAAAGGAAGAAAAAATAGGTAAAGATGGCCGATCAGTAGTGATTCAGCGGTCGGCGATGTACGCCCCGGAACCGACCGGTCTCCTTTTCGATTCCGGGAACCCGTACTCCGCCAATCGGGCCTCCAGCATCGACTTCATTCACGGACAGCGTTCGTCCGGAACGTTACGACACTGTCTGAGAAATACGTCGCCGATTTTGTATAAAAAATCATCCCGGATTCGTTCGCTGGAATAGGAAACCGATTCTTTAGAACTTTTAGTAATAGTCGATACTTTTGTCGTTAAAAAATCTGATTTTGTCGAAAATCGTTGTTAAATGTCTCGCCGATCTCTCGGGAAAATACAACGTCGTTTCGATATTGAGAATCTTCCGAAAATGGCAAGTGTGAAATCCTGTGTTATCCGGTTGTGAGTGCACGAAGGAGAACAGCGTATTGGTGGTACCGGAAACGCACATTGGGTACTTAAAAAATGTAAGAAGTTACCAGAGACTCGATTATGATACACATAGATTAAAGATAGAGAACATTATATCATATTTTATTATTTTTTATGCTTTGCTATAGCGGACCGTGCGTGTTCGATGTAACTATTAGGTCATCCCATAGGTTATAAATTTTGTACTAAATTTCCATTAAAATGTTACTCAATACTGTTTTTGATACATTAATATTTTCAAATTTGTTATGTACTATAAAGTTCTAAGTCTCTGTAACCGTCGATGTTGGTATTTTAAAAATATCACACGTTCTCGGACCCGATTAATTTCGTTTCTCTACTACCAATTTTTATCCTCGTCGGTCTAAGAAGAACGAGCGTCACGGGCTTATAGAATGATCTAATACATTCGCGACTCATCGGTGCATGCAAGAAGCAGATTTCTCCGGTTGATAATCGTCTCGAACCTATACAACGATGCGGCTCAAATTCGTATCCGGGTAAATGCGTTTTTCATTCACTTTCTCGCGTGAAACTGATGCGACACGGGGTCCGCGTGGTTGCAAGGACTCACCGGAGAAATCAGCGAGCCCCGATGACGCACGCCGAATTCAAGGAAATGCGTGAATCGAACGACGCGCGAGTCATCACGATATCAAAAGTCATTGCTGTTTACGACTCGTTGGCGACGAAAGTATTTTTCGATCGTTGAGTTTTAAGTAAAATTTAGGAACGATATCTAAAATATAATTAGACTGATAGAAAAAACAGATACGAACGTTGATTGTATATTTTCGTAAAAAGTAAAAAATATTGACCTGTACGTGTTAAAATTACCGATGCTTCGTTGATAACAGTAATTTTGAATGATTGAAATTCAGGAAGCAAAGTTTAAGTCTCTCTAAGAGTATGGAAACTGGATGATCGTTAAATATAATTAATCCTTTTATTGATATAATTATTAATATATTTACATATTTACGAATATCTTGATTATTATTTATTAAATGAATAAAATCACCTGCGCATAAGAATATTAATAATTTAAATAGAACATGAATAATTATATGAAAAAAAGGTAATTCGTAACAATTAACTCTTAAAGTTAATATTATCAAACCTAATTGACTTAATGTTGATAAAGCCATAATTTTTTTTGTTAAGTAAGGAGAAAGGTATATTCACGAATCGTGGAGTACACCTTCGACGAGTCGACGAAAAAAGAACGTTTCATGACGCCTGTACTCAAATTGAATAAGTCGTCGCGTTTTATAATCCTTGAAAAAAATGCGCGAATCGAAGATAAGTTGGCGAGCGAGAGTGAAATTTGTGTCATTGATTAGAGCCCAGTGCGGATGCAAGAACGAATCGAACGCTGAAAACAAAGAGACAGTTGAACAAGAAAAAAATGGAAATTGAACCAGTCATGGTTCCATCTGGTAAATATCTTTGCTGAGACGCTTCGTTTGGTAAAAATAGTTTTATAAAATCATAATCGTGTTCGTTCGTTCTTGATAAACGTGTGCGAAATTGCTATATTTCATAGTGTCCGAATATTAATTTCAAATAGATCTTTGACGTATGAAATTGGCGTATATGTGTAAAATGTATTGTACAGATCCGTCGGAATGGGACTCGAATCACATAGAGTCATGGGTTTCGTGGTGCAGCCGGGTGTTTTCCATACAACCAACGCCGAACGACGTTAAATTTCCTTCGACCGGTAAAGAACTGCTGAAACTGTCTTCGGATTACTGGCAAAGTATTCCTGGTGGCAAAATTTTCGCGCGTCACCTTGGATACCTTCAGTTCCAGTCGACCGGTGTTCAACCTCCGGATTTATTGCAGGAAGAGAAAATCGACGGTAAGTGGGAAAAACTATGATATAGAACAGAGGTCAGCAACCTTTTCGCTAAGAAAAGCATGTCGAATGGACTGACTTGCCATTGAATTTCTTGACGATTAACTTTTCCACCATGGATTTATTTTCTTTATTACCATACTAAAATTCTTTGAGCAAGAAATTACTGTACCGGTTCTAACTTACGACGTGGAGGAAGTAGGTGCAAACATTACCCAATACAATTCCCGCAGTAAATCCAAATGACACGGGATTCGTGGAGCTTAGAAAAGGTTAATAGGGGTCTAGGTTCGGATTGAAAATGACCGGAAGAGGCTAACCGTTCCCCAGGGCTGGTTCTGGTCCACTCACTCGACCTTATCTAAGGTTTTAACGAGGGTGCGATCTATTAGAGATAAGAACAGTCCGGCAGAAAAATAAATATCGCTGGCGATAATAGTCTCGTTTCTCCCTACCTTCGTATTTCTGCTCACCCTAACTTTTGATTTCAGAAAAGAAGGCTGTCGATCGTTTTCGCGACTCCTGCGTGTACAATTGTTCACGCGGATTGCTTAAATTTGTCATTCCTGACGTTGTTCAAAATTAAAGAAACTAATAGTACAAACAGATAGCAACGGTGATAGTAGCATCGAGATAATGGTATTCGATTTTACCCTACTTTTCTCTACGTATATTTGACGTTAGCGATATGTAGAGGATGACCCGGTGATTCGGGGAAGGAATAAAATAAATGACGGCCACAGATTAACGATAATAAATATATTTAGATGTTACTGGTTCACTTAGATAAAACACCGACACCTTCTCGAAGGTTCGAGACCATTCCAGAATGCGGCCCAATTACAAAGGTGTCGGTCGTCTTTGCTAAAGTTAGCGCTCCGCTTACAATACCGCGTCGACAGACGCGACCAGACGGCGCGGCGACATTAACAGTATTCGCAGAATCCTACAGATAAAAAAGGTGGGAGGAAATACAATAAATTTGAAAAAAAAATGGTTAATTGCTGGTCGTTGCGTTGCGATCGAAACCAAAATGTCGAATATAAATACCTTCGGGAGAAGACAGAGAGCGCGAAAATGGAGGAACGAAATGATCTCGGGACGAAGGGAAGCCGAAGTTTCGGTCGGTGACGAGCAAAAGTTATTCTTCCCGTGCGCGAGCCGGCAACGAAGACCCAGGCCAGGCCAGGTTCCCGCGAACGAAAGAGAAAAAGAGACGAGAATCCGCCTTTCGTCGACGCGCAAAGCAGAGAAGAGCGGAGTCTTGGCAGCGTAAGCCTCGGAGATATATTGTCCGTTTGAATAACGTTGTCGGTGCTCTTGGGGGCCCACTCCGCGCCGGCGGCGGCCGTTTATTAAACGAATCAGTGTTATCGCGGTGAGAGAGCCCTCATGAATAAACCATCGAGTGTTTAGGGCGGCGGAAAGGTGGTGGCATCAGGGGTTACGGCCTCGCAGTAACCGCTTCCACCCCCGTAACCCCCGTAGGGACAGAGCAGGGTGGGGGGACGGGCAAACTCTAACGGGCCAGGGGCGGTAAGCTCGCCACGGGGTGCGGCTATATTGTTTTCTTGATGAGCGCGAAACATCCCCCCCGAATCTCTAGCGTATGCGGGATAATTTTACGCGTCACCCGGTCCCGCGGAACTTTCGCGCCATCGTAAGCTTTCATACCGCGAGAATCGCGCGATGCATCGTCGCGTACACTGTTAACACTTTGACCGCCACCTATGTATACGTAGGTGACAGGTAGTCATTGGCTGTTCAAGTCTTAGCATTGAAATTCGAATCATTTCGAATATCATTCGAAGCTTAGAACTTTTGAAAATCTTGGGTCTCGATGGTTTTTATAAGAGCGATAGAATTTTGAATCAAAATACAATGGAAACTACAAAAGATCATGATCTACGAAGAAAAGAGAAGACAACGATAACACGAACGATGTTCCCTTCGAGATAGACAAGAGTTTGTAGAGACGAAGACCTAAATCTTAGAGTAGTCTGAGGAATGACTAATTCTTGAGAACGTCGTGGAATCGATAAGTTTGGATTCTCAGGAACATTTTCCCCGTCGACGCGTTGAAATCTATTGAACAATCGAACCAGTGGCTTCGTAAACAACGAATTTTTAGTTCAGTTTGTTGATTTTATATAAATACAACGAAGATGAGCAATTGTGTAAACCGTGTGTCGTTTGTGTTGTTAAAAGAGTAATAGAAAGCAATAAAATTGCTTAGCATTAGGGGTCTATCGGATCCTCGAGTGTGTAGGTACTCCCGGTTTAAATGGAACACTGGTATTCAGTGAATTAAAAACATTTCTCGCATCTTTTCTGTTCTATTAAGAAGCGAGCACCTATCGTTGCGCTCGTAGACAAGGAAAGGAATAAAAAAAGTGGAAAGTGGGAACGCTCTAAAAACTGAATAAACTTGACGTTTGACTCGAATGTGTAAGCTGGCATTGGCCCTCGCGGCGAGAGTGGGTGAAGCACAGAGATGTGTACAGTCGCATACCGTACCAAGGTATAAAGGTATTCCGTTCACGGGGATTGGAGTGGGGGGCGATAAGGACTAAAATCACCGGGGGCAAAGGTCGCTCAGTTACTCTCTGTCCACCAACCGGTACGTTTTATTCTGCGGTGTATCCACGCTTTATCGATATACAGTAGACGATGAAAATTTCACGCGTCACGCGTGTGCAGATTTGTGCGTGGACGATATCTCGATCGCCTAACGCGCGTCAAGTTTCTTTCCTTATTAAAACATCCTTTCTCGAGTATCGATTAAAAATCACCGTTAGATTTATACGGGAAACGTTGTAAATCATCTTTAAAGCACCAAAATCCGTTTCAATGTTGAAAACTTTCCTTTGGATTTAAAGATATTTATGCGCGCTGGTCCGCGACGCGATCGATCTTAAGTGCGATTGTTAAACGGAACAATGCGGCGGCTTAAATACGATTTGCCATTTTTGTTTTGACTCGTGCAAAATTTTCATGGACCAAAACGTGTCAGACTACTTATTTTTATAGCTTTAGCCGTGAATCGCTGCTATCTGAATTCATATCGAACATTTAATTAAAAATAAGCATTAAACGATCGAAGAGAATCTTTATATTTAAAGAATCGAGGACTGTGGTTGTAGGCTGTTTTTTAATTTCTATATAATGATTTTACTATTCATAATGAACATTCGATTGAAAATAAACGTCGGACATAGAGTGTCGATGAAAAATAGGAGACATTAACGATAAGGGGGTTGAACAATAAGTACGAGTGATTATTGTATTACACGCGTGGCTGGTGTTTGTAAAACGATTAACAATGGGCCTGTCAAGCACCGTTGTTTATACGGTGAAGGATTAGGCTAACGAAATCGTTTGACACGTAATGTGGAGGATTCAAACGCATCCGCTGCATCTTCAGCAGGACACCAGATTCCACCCTTCGGCAGCTGCCATACTTTATAACGGTATTTACTGTTATTAAGTCGATTTTATCGGAAAATTGTTAATTACGATATTCAATAACAAAGAATAGGATTACGAAGTTAACCATGAAATGGCAAAAGGTTGTGGAGCAAAAGGGTTAATACGTTGTTCAATAAAGTTTCTAATATTTAAAAATAAATTGACTATAGTTCCTTACTGAAAATTCCGGCATCACCTTTTGACCAACTCAGACGTAACGATACTAAAACCGAGTTGGAGAAATTTTATAATAATTCTCGTGTATCTCCTACTACTCGAACAACAAATCAAAACGTTTAAAAAGAAAAACATGTAAAATTCAATGAACTTACCGTATCTTACACATGGCCTATTTTAGCGCGATCAATTTTACAATAATCAGCGACAATTTAACCAAGAGAAATTCTTTTCTACGAAACAAATTTCTATCTAGCAACATTCTTCTGCGACCGGTTATAAATTATTATCCGTTGCAAAGTAACGGAGATATTCAGCTGTTTATCATGAAATAACTCGTAACGAAAGGTGCGCGATCGCGACCATCGCTCTTTCTGCGAATCGACCTCGCCTCAAACCGCGTCGAGCAGAATCGAGACGGTGCATGCGTGTTTCTGCTTCTTGCCCGCAGAGAGGTTCAGCCTCCTACAACGGACTTGCTCGCTGATTGGATCGACAGCTGGAGCCAGCGGTTCCGGGGCGGTCGGGGGCGGACAGGTTCAACTCTGGCAATTCCTGCTGGAGCTGCTCTCGGATTCGTCGAATTCGTCCTGCATCGCATGGGAGGGCTCGAACGGGGAGTTCAAGCTTACCGATCCCGACGAGGTCGCGCGCCGATGGGGCGAACGGAAGAGCAAACCGAACATGAACTACGACAAACTGTCGCGAGCGCTCAGGTAAACGTAATCGTCGAATCGGTCAAGAATCATTTACAAATCGCATCACGTTAACACTACTCCAAATCAACCATCCGTGGATCACAGGATTTTTCACTTTATGCGTCAGTAACTGACCGAAAACGTAACTGGTCTTGTTTCGAAAACCACTTTTTGGATTATCGTAATAGCAGCCCATTGTGCATACAAATACAGTATCAAACGTTCCATTGTCGTAATCCCGAGTACTATTCATGTTTTGGAAGTTGTTAGGTCGATCATAAATAAAGTATTAAGGGGAGTTCCCTAAATAAGTGAAAGCCACAGGTTAACGATAATAAATGTATTTAGATGTTACTGGTTCGGTGTGTAGATCGAGCCTGGGCTCGTGTCCCTTGTTTTGTGTCCTCTTAAATAGAACAGCGATACCTTCTCGAAGGTTCGAGACCATTCCAGAGTGCGGCTTGATTACAAAGGTCGACTGGAAAATCGAAAAACTGAAGTGGATAACAGTATTGGAAAGCACATTTCGCTTCGCAGGTATTATTACGACAAGAACATCATGACGAAAGTGCACGGGAAACGCTATGCTTACAAATTCGATTTCCATGGACTGATGATGGCTTGTCAAGCCCAAGCTGGCGTTACATTGGAAACGTCACCGTCGACCCGAGGTACGGGCGCGAATTGCCACCCTCACCATTCGCATCACACTCATCACCTATATCCGACAGGACCACCGGGTTCTCAACATCCATCGGTGTCTGTACCTCCGCCAGCACCACCGCCGCCGCCACCTCCACCACCTCCCCCACATTACTGTTGGCCTTATCATCGATACTCTCCACCTACGTAACATAAAGAACTGATTGTTTTTCATTTTTAACAACGCGAAATATTCTTCTATGCATTCTATGCACGTCGAAGCAATCAGTAATGACACTGACATTCCTAAAAGAACGAACGAAATCATTTCGGAAATAAAATACTCTGACACTTGGTGACCACTCGTCGATGAAGCAAATAGAATAAGAACTTGCTCGTTGTTATTGATACTTTAATTTTCGTGATACCTACCCAAAAATAGGCTCGTTGTGTTATCAGGAGCGTATCAGTAACGCTGTTAAATATAAGACGCGTAATACACGTTAAGCACGGAATAATTCTGACGATACCTTGGGCTATGTATACTTGTATACTTATTTATAAAAAATAAGCTGCTGTAAATATATTACAATAGTTATGTAAGTACAATAGAAGCGATATTGTTGTCTTCGCAGATATTCTGCATGAAACTTTTATTCATATTTTTGGTTTAATATGACGATGTACAGTTTATAAGCAACATTTTTTATTTGACGATTATTGGAACGCCCAATAAATACTTTAGGAAAGATTAAGAATAAAAGTTCCTTAGTAAACAGATCGCTGTTGTTCGATTACTTGTACAGCATGTCTCGTTTTCACACTTGGTTATCTGATGGTCATCGATGGTCAACAGTGAGGATAACATCAAGGTCAGTGGTCTGGGGAAGATCCAGAAATGACCAAGTGGTAGGGTCAATCGAAATAGTTCTTCTGTAGACCAAAGAGCTTTAACTACTGACCTTCACCTTGTGTCTCCCCACTCTTCCATTATCTTAAAAAGGCGTACATATACATGAGGCCACTGCTGAAGACTCTCAAGCTCAGTACCCCTGGGACGTTCAGAGGGATCGGGTCTCGCGAATTGAGAAGTCTACCACTGGCCATTAGTGAACCGAGCTGACCACTGATGACCAGCACTGACCACTACTTGACCACTTGTTTTTTTACAAAGTCGTACGAAAGTGGATGAACAATTTCCTTTGGGCATCGGTATGCTGTCTGATAACACTCGATTGTCTTTTTCAATCTCTTCCATAGTCAACTCACATGTATTTACAGATACACTACTGCTGTCTGCCTATCAATACTAATTCAGTGAATAAAATAATAAAATCACCTCCGAATTTTCCATAAGGTGTAAGATCTACTCGTATATCTCGTCTGTGATAATGCAGATATTTGAATCATATTTATAAAATATTGTACAGATGTCGCCTTAGGTCAATAGGGAAACCAGCCAATCCGGCACAGAACAACCTAGGTACCGCGTGGTCAAGTGGGCGCCATTTCTCTTTCTTCATAAGAAAAGGTGAGTGGATGTATGTTGTGAAAAGATACTTGATATCTGATTATTACAGTGCCATCAGCATACTTTTTACATGGAACGATTTCAAAATTTAAACTAAAAGGCATGATTATTAAAATTCTCTGATTATTTCAGCTCCTCAGTCCATCAGAAACATGTCAGACGTTGAAAAGTAAGTATGTTTTTTGTAATTATTAACAACGTATTCCACGTACCTACAAAAGAACTACGAAGTACAAATTATTATTATACTTATTGTATTTATTATGAAAGTTATACGATCTTAGAGAAATTAAAAACATCGATGCATACAAAATCAACGTATAACCTCAATTTTTAGATGTCATGAACTTGTTATGAGTAATTATTTTCCTGTCTAATATAAATTCTATAGAAGATGCAGACCTAGTCAAGAATAAACTCATTGATCTTATAATCTAAAATTTGTTCGAATTCCTTCAGCGAATTTTACGAGAATTTTTTTTATTGTATTCCCCAGTAAGCATAATATGCAATATAGGATTAAGCAAATCAAAATTGTTGCTCATTTTTAGTGATGATGCCCCTTCTACGATGGTAGCAGGGGGTGCAATGGAAGTAAATTCAGCCCTCCAAGAAGTTCTTAAAAATGCTCTTATTCATGATGGTGTTGTACATGGTCTTCATGAAGCAGCCAAAGCTTTGGACAAGTAAGTTTATTGCACAATTCGTTGGAAGAGTGTAAGATTTGATAACAAAAATTTATTATGTGATGATTTACAAGGTTCCCTCTTCTGAGAATACCCGTTACATAAATAGATAATGCTGTTCTTAACCTTTTCTGACACTCAAAGTGACTAGTATTTTACACATAAAGCAAGGTATTTGATCTCTATATTTTTGTTGTCTGTTGTGTGTTTAGGAGACAAGCTATGCTTTGTATCTTAGCTGAAAATTGCGATGAACCCATGTATAAAAAACTGGTTCAAGCATTATGCAATGAACATCAAATTCCATTGATTAGGGTAGACAATAATAAGAAATTAGGAGAATGGGCTGGTCTTTGCAAAATTGACAGTGCTGGTAAAGCCAGAAAAGTTGTTGGATGCTCGAGTGTTGTCATAAAGGTATGTATTACTTACTATAAAATTTAGAATCCAATATGATGAAACTATAGACTCACTGTATTGAAGATACTTGTATTATTAACAAGGCATTATTTTGATACTTAATTCTTATAAATTTTCTATCGCATTAAATGGGAAACTTTTTAACTGTAGGACTTTGGAGAGGATACCCCTGCAAAGGATGCTGTAATGGAATATGTCAAACAAAGTTCTGTACACTGAGATCTTGTAATAAAACGTTCTACATAATTTCGTACGTATAGTTTAGTTAATCCTTATGTATTATTTGTTTTCGTATTATAATTAAGTAAATTAATCAAAATGTACGGATAAATTTTTGAAAGACTGTATAACCACAACTTACACTAGTGCGGAAAGAAACATGTGATGCGGTAATGCCGTATACAACAGAACATTAAGCCGTCACCACAACGGTCCTATTCAGTCAATTAATATTTACTAATTACAGTTTTAGATCGTAAGTAGTAGTAAGTGATTGTAGGACTGATGACACTGTTGTCAAATTTCCAATTTTCCGACCTGAACTAGAGTAGGCCCGTGGTATAACGTACTTCTTTTTCTTACGGTAATAATCGAAAATGAAATGATCATATAATATTTGAAAAATTATTCGGACCTTCATTCCTTTAATGTATTTTAAATCAGTTTTGTTTGCAGTCTGCATTTTTTGTTATTTTATTGCAGATTGCTTTATGTTTTTCCCAGTCTTTTACTTGACATTCTCTATGGTATGTTAACAATACCTTAATTAAGAGTATATATTAGCATTTCATAATGTGAACAAAAATTTTGTACCTTCCACAATACCAAGCCTCTTTGCATTTAGAACAACGTTTCTTTGCCACCTCCTGACATAGAAAGCATTCTTTAATATCAATACAATCCAATTTATCCAAATCATACGCATCGCTCAAAATTTGTGCTGCATTTTTAATATCTTCTGCATCTTTTGTGTATATGAATTTCGATTGGTGTTTTGCTAATTTTTTCCACTTCTTATGGTATTTCTCCATTATTGATATCTTTATCTAACGTAAATATTAAGTAAAATAATTAGTAAAAAATTTTAACGAGTATTCATATCGTCAAATTGATAATTTTTATTTATTATTTTTAACCTGTGGTATAAGTTCTACATTTACTGGACGTGGTGTTTTGGATTGAGACGATGATATACTTAAATAACTTAACCATCTTTTTAAATCTATCAAAGGAGAAATTTGATCTAATACAGTTTCTTGTAAATATTTCTGCAACTGATATAAATAATGAATTACTTTCGTGCACTAGTTACGTCTTTGTTTAGAACATGAATTACCTTTAACAGATGAGATAATCTGTGCATAGTAATTTCGTAATATGGCGCACACTTTGGATTCAGTAATAATTCTCGTAAACCAAACCAAACTTGGCCTTCTATTTTAGAAATTTGTCCTTCTTCGCTTAACTTTACTTTTTTCCAACCGCCGTTATATATCATATTTTCGCCTCCAAAATAATAATTTTATTTGAATTGCCTTAGTTTATGGTGCAGTCATACCCTATCTTACGATTTTTCGATTTATGTAATTGCTAGTAGCGACACGATAGACGTTTATTGAAATGATCAGATTCGTATTCGCGTGCTTCATTTTATAAAAGTTGTAATTATATTATGCTAAACTTTACCTCCCTAGTCATTTTTGCCAAAGAATGGAAAACAAATCGTTTAATCTAATACAATGTTAATATACAGGGTGTTCAGCCATCCCTGGGAAAAATTTTAATGGGAGATTGTAGAGGCCAAAATAAGACGAAAATCAAGAATATCAATTTTTCGTTTGAGGTTTAGTTAAAAAGTTATTAACAATTAAATTAAAAAAATTCAAATCGTTCTAGAAAAATTATTTTCGGTTGCGGGGGTGAATTACAATCATTTTTGGTGAATAGACATACCCCCGAAATCCTGCGCATTTTCGAGACAAAATTCAGTACGGATGGAACTTTAAACGTTAATAACTTTTTAACGAAGCCTCCATCAACAAATTGGTATTCTTGATTTTCGTCTTATTTTGGCCTCTAGAATCCTCCATTAAAATTTTTCCTAGGGGTGGCCGAACACCCTGTATACATATACACGTGTACATTATATTTGTCTTGACTTACGTCAGCTATTCTGGAACCAATTAATACGTAAGTTCAGGATATGGCTGTACCTTGTATTATTGTATACAAATGTGAAATATACACGGAATTACCATCCTCATTTTCCTTCGTCCATGGATGCTTTTCGATGAGTTCAACGAGGAGGTAGGGTACATCGTGCGTACTTAGCATTCGAGACAATAGACAAAGCGGTAAATTATCTGAAAATTCTGCTAAATAACGGAGAATTGAAATGCAACGCATGCCGATATCAAATTCAAGTTCCTTCTTTTTTTCTAATATTTCTTCAAGACATGAGCTAATAGTGAATAATTATAATTATACAGTTATTATGTAGTGCGTATTATTGTTGACTAAATTGAAATAGGAATAGAATTCTAATGTGACCACTCACTTTGGATTTTTTACGTTTTCATAAATTTCAACGTCCTGAATGTTTAATAGTTTAGAAACACATCTAACTGAGTAATCAACAAGATCAATGGCTAAATCCTCAATAGTTACGGCACTTTCACAATGAAACAATACATTTTCTAATAACGAAACGGCTATATTTTCGTGATAAAATATGGTGAAAAGCATAAAAGTATTTTTCGGTTCGGCATTTATTTCTATTAATAATGGAAATACTTTATGCTTCCATATATCAATTTGAATAGCTTCGTATATAAGAATTGGTATCTACAAAATAAAAATGTTATTAGTGCGCACAAGGAATTATCTGTAACATTAGGATATTTTATTTACCTTTTTAAAGGAAACAAACAATTCCTTTATAGTTTCTTCCCTTAAAGCATTAATTTCTAAAACACTTTGTTGATTTAATAAGATTAGTCTTTTATGAAATTCTAGCCAACTGAAAATGATGTGTATCTTTATATGCATACATAAAATATTGAAGACTGCATAATTAATAATTGTGCACATATAATAAAAAAATATATTAGACACCGTACGAAATTTACCCATTTGTTCCTACATCTTGTAGCTCGGAAATTTGTAAATTTTCTACGTATGTCGAGGTTTCCCATGGTGAAATTATGTATTCCATACGACTCGACATTTTTACGATAGGTAAAGAAATATCGTAAACGAACGTCAACCATTTGTAAACAAGATTTCGTAATTGGTATCCTTGACAATGTAATGTAATTAACGATTGTTATCAATAGTATCATAAATTATACTTTCAAACTGAGTATAAAGAACTAAACGAAGATATTTTTTTATTTCTCTATGATATACTGAATTTTTTAACTGACATAAGTTAATATTTTTTTTGTACAAAATTTATTCCTTCACATACAATTTTGTCACGGCATTTCATACATTATACAAAATTATTTTAAGTTTATAATTAAAATAATTCGTCAGTGTTTCTATTTAATTTACATTTATTTGCAATAAGTTGATGTCACATTATAAAATACTGACCAAATGAATTCAAAATTACTAAATAGATAGAAAATATTAGACATAACCTACAGTGACCTTTATTAAAATGTTTAAAAATATGTTAAACAAAATTATCCGCATCACTCTTTGCGTTTTAGTTATTTATATTATAATAATATCGTATCACTCAACAACTTATCAAATAAGAGGTAATTTTAAACAACATATGTGTATGTATGGAAATATTATAATGTATTTTATTTATTCCATTTGCAAATTTTATAGGACCTAATATCATTTTAAATGTGTCTCTGACAAGTGATATAGAATTATTAAATATATCAGAAGAATTATTTAATAAATCTTCTTTCGAAATTAATAAATATCTGTCCATAAAATACCAAGGGCAGATAACTTCAAAGAATTTTACTGACAATGCTCCTGAAAGGTATTATTTCGTAAAATTGATTTCTTTATTTAATATGTTTTTTATGTACATTCAATTTTACTACTTTAGGTTATTAAACATTTTATCCAATAATATTTTGACAACAACAACAAGATCTCTCATAAAATTATTTGATAATTATGATTTGGATACGTATCAGTCAGAAATTATAACAAAGGAAGAAGAAAAAGAGGAGCATGAATTTATTAATGATTTAATGAAAACAGATGCAATGTTATATGTTATGCATTTTTTATCTGTGAAAGGTTTCTTTGCAAATAATTTACAGGTTCACCAAAATATTTTGAAGGAAATTTGGTTTCACCCATACTCTAGAAGTAAGGGAATAAATGGTAGTTCTGGTTTTGAACATGTATTTGTAGGGGAAAGAAAACCATGCAAAGGATTTATGGGACTTCACAATTGGATTTCTTTTTTCTTTGGGGAATTATCTAGTAAAATTAATTACTTAGGATTTTCCCGAAAAATGGAATTTGCTGGTGTAAGTAAAATTGTGGATATAAAATAAGGATAATTTACGCAGTAAAATACTTTCAGGGAGTTGCCATTGTAGAAACTTATTTCACTTACAATGGAAAACGTAAAATGTCAACTATGTTCATTGGAACAATGCCCGAATTAGAAATAGCACTTTATACACTTTGCTTTTTTACACGTCCAAACAGAAAGTGTAAAGTCTCATTTACCGGTTTTAAATTTGGTATTCAAACATATACGTTGCGTACTAATGATATAAAATTTGTTGCAACTGCCTTTCCTGTTATATGACAAAGTTGAATAAAATGAATAACTACAGTGTACAAAAGTAGAATAGTATATTTATTGGAAATACATAGGCTGTTGTTTATAGTTTTAAAATTTAAATAATTAATAATCTGGAAAAAAGTAAATGTATAATGTTCATAGGAACTTTTTATGTCAAATCAATTATATTTTCATTCTGCTTATTTTCTATAAGGGATGTTCTTTTTCTTGTAATGTTTTCTCTTTTTTTCTTTGGTATAGTATACTTTGTAAACTTGCTACTATCACTTTTACTCAAAATATTTGTATCATCTATGGACATCCTGAATCTTTTCGACATTGTCGAAGAATCGCTAGATGAACTACAATTTAAAAGATTTATTTCTTTCTCGACTGAATCACAATTTAATTGCAAACTGGATAGTTTGTCTTCAGTATTTTTTGTACTGCTGGATATCTGCAAATTAAGTTAATATACATTAAAATAATTTTTGTTACTAATCTAAATACTAACCTGCTCCGTTTTTCGCTTGGTAAGTGTAAGACTTGTTTTTTCATTATTTTTCTCTCCTTTTGACATCTTTTCAACAGAGCTGTTTTCACCAACATTATTATAAATCTCTCCTGATATATTGCTACATTCTTCATTAATACCAAGCACTTCTTCTAATTCATTAACTCGTTTTTGTAAAGACATACATTTGCTTTCTGCAAATGCTAGTTTTTCTTCTAATTCCCTATAAAGATATATTTCATAGATTTGAACCATACTTTCGTTAATTTTTGACATATATAATATAATGGTTTAATATCTTACATTCGTTTTGTTTGTTCCTTCAATGATAAAGAATCATATTTTGTATTGATATTAACAAGTTCCTGACGTAGTCTCTTAATATTTATGCGTAAATGTTTATATTTATCAAACCTTGCAATCAACTCCCTAGAAACCATGCAAATAGCAATATTATTTCATTTCTAATTTAAAAAATATCTGATTTTATATTACTTACTTTTTCATGACAGATATATATTTTGTAAGTATCTCTGGATCATTAGTGTCTCCAATCATTTTGTTAACATTACAAAGAGGACCACGTATCAATGTTTCAATCCTAAAATAAAATATAAATAAATAAATAAATAAATTATATATATAATGATGTTGTATATAAATAATACATACGGTTCCAGATCATTAATTTTAATTTTTAAGTGAGCAATTTCTTTCTTTAGCTCATCAGTATACTTCATTTCCTCTCTCAGTTCATGTATCAATGAATTTTTTTTACTAATTTCACTTTCTACTTTTCGAACTTCTTGTTTAAGCCCAGCATTTTGTTTCTCCAAAGTAACAGTTTTTGAAGCAAAATATTGAATGTCTTTCTCTTTTAATAAAATTTTAAACTTTAGAGTATCTATTCTTTCTTTTGAAGTGCATGTCTGAGGTTCAACAGGTTCATTATTTGAAAATGTGAAATAAAGTCTATATATTTTATTTCGTGTCACCTTCTCCCTGCATTGTGGACAGCTGGTTGATCTGAAATTAATAGACACTATTATTATAATTATTGTTCCCAGTCAAGTAAAAATCAATTGATAAATTAATGTGCATTATAAGTTGAAGTAATGACAGTTTGTAAGGTACTTTTAGATTATTTGCAAATATTTGTTTACCTTTCAAGCCATTGTGTCAAACATTGGAAATGAAATACGTGTGCACATTGTGTATGAAAAATATCATCTGATTGCTCTAAATGATCCTTACATATAGCGCATATGACGTTCATTTTTACGTAAAAATTACATAAACAATAAGTACAAAAAAGATCGATATAAATAGATTTATGTGAAACTAATGAATTTTTAAATAGCTTTAAGCCTCAATGACATTTAATCGGTGCTTTTCATCAATCAGCTGTTTGTGATTCCAATTATTACGTTCTAATCAAAAGAGGTATGCTCATCATCAGCTTGCTTATCTTCAAGAAGGTTACATACATGCGATACGTACAAGCCCGAAATGTCATTGGTAAAATTTGAATTTATTCCCCAGATACTTTTATAAAATCTAAAGTTATTTCTTTTCGAAACGGTAAACACATTCATATAATTTGTTAATGGAACTGTTACGAAGCATATTCAACACATATTATGTATTAACATACAAATAATTACGTGTCCATGTACTGAAAAATAAAATGTACCATCACACACATTTGTGCTTGATGTCATTTTACATCTATAGAACAATTGAAACTTTAATTATGCCAAAGTATTGTTTTCCTTCGACGAAATATACATTGTTAATTTTTTATTTATTATTAAACGATACAAACAAAGACAGAAAGAGACATGTTATAAACATAATGTGTCGTTATTTGATAAGAATTATACGTTTCAAAGTGTTGTTATTCTATAAAAGAATTATACACGTTACTTTCGTTTCGATATATAGATCATGTTTATACATAACAAATTAAAAGAACAAGAGATTTGAGCAGTTAAGATTTAATTCGAGATAGGAAAGTTTGTAGCTGTAGCTTAGGGAATTTTCGATAGTTTCTTATTTGGTTGTTGGCCAGCATTGTAGTCAAGCTTTAAGGTGTAGGCGCTGGCCCATGTATATGGACACAGGGTTGCACACAATAATTACACGTGGTTTAGCGGACGAGTGCTTTATTGGACCGTCTCTTAGGCTTGCTCGGGGAAGACCTCTCGATTCTCTCTTGTCTCTCGAGGCCCAGGGAGTACCTAGGGACAAATTCCCTATAGCATCCCGGCCTCTCTCAACGGTTGGCATCGGCGCCAATCGCGCCATCTGCGGGAGTAACTAGGGAGTTACTCATGCTCCCTACAAAGGTAATTACTGTGTACTAAGGCCGGGGGCACACGAGCGTCGAAACAACGTGCGTTTTTATGCCCTTCCTTGTCTTACAATTGAAAAGACATAGGAACGCCGATCTTGTCTGTCTTCGTTGTTTTCAATTGCTAGACAAAGAAGAACATAGAAACGCACGTCGATTCGACGCTCGAGTGCCCCCGGCCTAAAGGTGCTTGTGAACTTGGGTAAGCTGTAATTACTATACAAGTATACACTAAAGACTGTTTATGTAGTTAAGTCACCAGCTATAAACAAAAGAATGTGTTTCTTTGTTCGATTTATATTGCCGTTCTTTGTTTCTTGTTTACATTTAGTGACTACTCGGTGAATGAACTTTACTCGTATCATTATAACGTAATAAGAAAAGTATAGTGAGATATATTTCTATAAATATATTTCTTATTTTGTATTAATTTCTTACGGTTAATGTACCTTATATTTCCCGTTTCTATATCCAAACCTTATGTATATCGAGAAATAATTTCATTATTGGTCAAATGGCAAATACATCCTCAATGCTGTCAATAGAACAATATCATGATATTTGTCCTGAAGATATTACTAACTGCACAAGTGTAGCTGTTTCTAACATTGGAAGTAGTTGTAACGAATCAAGAACATTAAATGATTTACAATGTTTTGTATGTGATGCAAAAATTCAGGGTCGTCATTATGCATTGGCTACATGTAGAACTCAAACATCAAGATCTAAAGTAATTGAAAAACTTGGAGAATTAGTTGGTGATAGGTAGTGCTATATATTACTTGTACATAACTAAAATATTGAATTCTATGTTATAATTTGAAGTAGAACAGCAATCTTTTTCCCGTAATGTAGATACATGGTAGTAATATCAGAAGATGATGTAATTTGTCGAAGTTGTGCTAATCTCATTAATACGCTTGATCGGCTCGAAGTTGAAACATATAGCTTGCGCGATAATATCTTACGATTCTTGGAACACAAATATTCCTTGGAAGAAGGAGAACTTCTTGGCAATAATGAAAAGCAAAAGCGTTCGCAACCACCACAAATCACAAAATGTAACAATCAAATTGTAACTAATTGTCAGGGTAAAAAACAGGATGTTATTCTATCTTCACATGTTACTGAGAAAGCCAAAGACAAAAGAAGTAATATTTGGTTGCAATGTGATAAATGTCAGTATACGACACTTCATAATTCATTTATGGTACATCATGTTAGAGGTCACAACAAACAGAAAATATTTTGTGATAAGTGTGGGATACAGTTTCTTGGAACTCAGCAAGAATCCCATAATTGTAATTTAAAAGACTCTTTAAATAATCAAGATAGAATTAAAGATGAGCAAGCAGGTTGTTTGAAATATTAAGTTTTGTTATCCTAGAGATTCATTTTCTATTAGTTTAATGAATTATATTATTAAACATATTACAGAATCATCTATGAAATGTATTAATGAAACTGTAATGGATATTCCAATTTTGGAAAAAACGATACAACAAACTGTACCAATTATGACCATTGAAACGTATACGGAATCACACATTTCAAATCACAATGAAAGTATGCCTATAATAAGATTATCAAATTCAGAAAACTTACCCATACAAAATATTTTAACTTCTGGTAAGGATTCTGCTCCTCAAAGTAACATTTAATTAGAAAGTATTCTGTATCATACAAATGCTTTTAAATTATAGATAGTAGTTCTGCAACTAATCAGCCAATATATGTACGTGTTTTACAACCCATTGAAATTAATGAAACACCAACACATTCTACAATGATGACTGTATCAAATTCTGATACAGATCTAGCAATGAAACTTAAAGACAGTTCAGGAAAACAAATTTTAACATTGACAGAAGATGGAAATTTGGAAATGACAGAAGTAGCTTGCTGGAATGATTTATAATTATCAGACTTTTAATCCAGCCTAATGTTCAAGTTATTTAAACTTCCATTATTAAATTAGACAGAGTTTCTATTTACTTATTTTTATTAATACAACAAGTAACAATTATTTACATTTACAATTACTTACACAGTTATTCTTTTTCATTAAACAAAGTCTGTACCAATTCATAGCATATTAATTGCATGTTTTGTTTCTTTAATCAAAAATTTTAATGCAGAATACTGGTACAACTTGTTTCTACATTTAAAACTGTTTTATTTAATTGTTTTTGTAAAACATGGTTGTTACAATTGGTTTGCTATTAGATCCGTCCTAGATGATGTGGTATTTGCAACCTGCATTTGTCTCGTATCTAATGTTTAACCTGAAACAAAGAATTGTTAATATTTCTTATAGTATTTCATGCATTTACTTTTATTGATTCTTTTCAGTTTCTTTCAGAATGACGTATTTATTACCTAAAAGATCACTGACAGCGTTTGCGGCATTGTTGCCTATATCGTTGGCAACTTTGGCAGCACCAGATGCAGCATCTTGCACTGAATTTCCGACATCATGCGTTACATTTTGTTGAGCTTTCGTAGCTTTGTTTAGCGAATCTGTTGCAGTATCTGATAAGTCTTTGGCAACTTTAGAAACGACGCTGTTGGCAGCATTAACTACATTATTCACGGTATCCTGAACGTCATTTAAAGCATCTCCTACGACATCACTGGTAATATTTGCCGAATCTGTTTTAAGAGTAGAAACGTCACTCTGAACATCCTTAGCCAGTTTTTTTGCGTCTGCCGCTAACGATGAAGATTTCTGTTTAGCTCCTTTCAATGCTTCATTTGCGGCCTTCTTAACTTCTTGCAAAGCCTCTGAGGCTTTCTTTTTCAAATTATCAACTGTCTTTTCAAGGGCTTTCCCAGCAGCATTCGAAACTGCGGAACTTTCGTTTCGCAATGCTTTTAGTGTTTCGCTCACTGCGTCGCCCGATGCTTTTTTGACAGCATCTAATGCAGCCTTTGTTTTGTTGAGAGTCTCCTTAGATTTCTCTTCAACTTCGGCTGCTCCTTTCTTTGTAAGGTTCCTCAAACTGTTCACGACCTCAGCGGCTTTTTTATTGACTTCTTCTAGTGTCTTCTTGACTTCCTCCCCCAATTTATCTAGAGTTTCAGCAACATCCTGGCTAATTTCTGCTGCTTTCTTGTTAACAGCTTCCTTGGCTTCTTTGCTTACTGTAGCCAATTTATTAACTGTGTCTGCAACTTTCTTCAATTTTTCGTCCGTCGCGTTCTTAACAGCGGCCAAAACTTTAGCGGTATTATTTACTGCGTTCCTCACTTCGCTTGCGATCGACTGTGACACGCTCTGTAAGACCGCGACAGTTTCAGAAGTAGCATTGTCAACTTGATCATTGACATCTTTGTTGACTGTCGCCGTTGTATCGATCAACCAATCCGTTCCGTTTTCAATCGCGTTCTCTATCTGGAGCGAGGCATTATAAACTTTGTCGTTGATATCTTCGATCTCTTTGTGAACAGTTGTAGTTGCGGTCTTCAAAGCTCTTGCAGTGGTGTTGACCATCTTGACTAGGTCCTTTTCCGCTTTGGCTACAGCTTTGTTAAGGTCACTCTTAAGTTCTTTCGCAGTCTCGAGAGCTCTCCTCTTAGCATCCTCCACCAGAGCATTTACGGCGCGTGCTGTATCGTTTAAAATGTTGGTAGCGACCTTCGCGGTTGCATCTAGTGTCTGTTTACTGGATTTTGCGACAAAACGTAGAAGAGCCTCACTTTCGTTCTTGGCTTCGGTCAGTGCATCTTTCGTGAGCTGTAAAACATCCTTAGTCTCGTTATTAGCGGCTTCGGCGAGAGTTTTTATAATTTTTTCCAACTGTTCCTCCGTTTCTTTCTTTAGCTCAGCGAGCGCTTTATCGGTTTTGTTTTTTAACTCAGTTAGTTCTTCTAACATAGCTTGAGTTGCATTGTTCAAATCTTCGGTAGCCTTAAGTTGGTCTTCGTCTAATTTTTTGCTTGCATCATTTACGTTCGTAGCAGTTTCGTTAGTGAGTGATGCCAAACCGTCCTTCAATTCTTTTATAACTTTCGCTAATTCTTTCGTAGCATTGTTCAATTCGTCTTTTGTGGTGTTCTTCGTGACTTCCAAAACCGTAGCGGTTTCGTTCGCAGCATCCTTCAGAACTCGTGCTATCGCCGGAGCCGCTTTAGCAAGAAGTGCCTGCGCCTTGCTTTGAGCTTTCGCTGCCTCCTTTTTCGCCTCGCCCAAAGCTGCTGCAGACTTATTTACCAGATTTTGCAATTCTTTCCCTAGCATTTGTTCCGCAGAGTTTATAAGTTTCTGCAGTTCCTTCGAGATAAGTGAAGCGTCGCCGACTGCCTTCTTTAAAGCATCCTGCGATTTTTTCTGATCTTTAGGTGAAGGTGCTGGTTTTGGTGCTGGTTTTGGTGCTGGAGCTGGTGCTGGCTGTGCTGGCTGTGCCTGAAAATTATTGTTTAATTATATTAAAATTATTTGTAAACGTAGAACAAGCGTTTGACTGTATGTAACACTAATAAAATAAAATCATGCGGATAAGTAATGCAATGCGAAAAAATATGACGTCGCAGCCAGAATTGCCTAACTCTGCTTGCATCTACTGCAAAGCGCAACATCGATCGGAGTATAATCAATTATCGGTTAAAGACCAGTTATTCAAAACTACTAGGGGTTTAAGCAGATATTCTGGTTTAGAAGTTAATTTTGTGTACATATAAATATTGGAAATTTGTACTTACTGGGGCAGGTGATGATGCAGGAACATTAGCCACCGGCAAAGCCTGTATTAAATAAATACATTAACATCGATATTTTATTTTTGAGAATTATTTGGAAGAGTAAAATTTTGTTTAAATTTTCTTTAAAAGTAAAAATAATAAATAATAAATGTTTAATATCGATAAAAATATTAATTCAAATTTAAACATTATATTTAATCCCAGTGTAGTGATTGCTTAATGATCGATTATTGATGAATGTACATATATTACATTGTACTAGTTGATAGTAAGCAGTTAAATTTTCCTTAAAAAAAGAAAAGAATGTAAATGAGGGATAGCAACATATTTCCAAGAAAGGAGGCATTAAATATATTTTAAATTTTCTATGAAATATTGCACATACCAAAGCAGCAACGCTGAAGAAGGCGAAGATTGACAATAACTTGATCATTTTTATTCTTACTTATGACTACTTCTATAGGAAATCTCGCAAACGTATGCTATGATACAGATTTCATTGTTACTTATATATGTTCTGGCGGCGTTACGTATAACAACTGTGTCAATAAAAAATGAATTTGGCACATTACAGAGAAAGCGTCTGAAATGTTTGTATTACGTATCTGTTATAATATTTGTTCATTATTACATTGCGCAGATTATTCAACCTGTTATCTATTATAAATAACTCGTTAATTCCCATTGTTTGGAAAATTACCGAACGAAGTAAATGATAATTAATGGTGAGTGATAAAATGTAATTGTAATCATATGTAATTGCGTAAAATCTATAGTAGAGGTTTTTAAATCTTTAATTAGAATGTTGTTCTACTAGTGTAAAGTGTATCGCAAGAATTCATTAACATGTTCAGTGTCGTTGTAGACAATGGTGTTTGTTGATAGTTTATCCGTTCAGGTCGTCGGTCATCGATGTTCTTATAAACCTTAATACTTGCAAATTTCTGAATAACATTAATATTATTGGGTATCCTGTAACATAATAAATACAGTGAAATTTCCGTATCCATGAGATTTCGGTTCTAAGACTTTCCGCGGATAATAGCGAACCCTATATGTAATCTATGCACACCTGACTCTCCTTTGACACGATGAAAGTATACCGAGAAAAAGAAAAGCGTGGGTAAGAAGTTAGGCAAAAACTGATTAATAAAACTTGTTTTGAAGGATGCAAATTATACAAGTAATTTAAAACATAAAAACGCATTCATTAAAGCATTTTATTTAATTATTGCAATACATAATGGTATACATTATTATCAAATAAACATAATGTATAGAATAAATGCAATAGCACAATAAAATACAAATGAATAAACTAGTACAAAATGAAAGGAAAAAAACAATATTTTATGAATAAGAACAGAACGTATTATTGTTCAAATGAGATATCGATGTTGACAAATTTATTGACTCGTGTTTTTGTCAACATTCATTGTGTAATTGTGACATAATTCGTTTTTTTCTACCGTCATTTCTTTACATTTGCGTCCCATTAGTCACTCAATGAAAGATATCATGATAAAATAAATAGCAGCGTGACTCAAGTATTACGAAAATTGAATATTGGTGTTACCTAACTACCACTTCGCGAAGAAAAAGCATGAAGTCGTGTGTAAATTAAAATATTAACTATTTAAAAGCTATGCAAATATTTTTGACGGTACGCATAGGGATTCTAAATACAAGTTTTAGCATTTTCGATTTGTTCGTTCAAAAATTAAGATTTAAAATATTACTTCATGAAGAAATAATTTCAATTTGATGTAACTTCACATATTCAAAATGGTGGATTCAATATGGCCGACTTACATGCCTAAAAATTACTAGATTCACATGAGAACTGTTTCCAGTACTATTATAATATATTGCACTTTATTTACACAGACTATTTGCAAGTCTGAATTACGTTTCAATTGGTTATATCTATTTTCAATCCATCTTAAAAGTAAAGTGAATATAAACATCAAGGGTCACGTGATCAGATTCCTATTAGTCCATTGTGTCAACTTGCTATGTTAGTTAGGAGTTTCTATAGTAAATTTGGCGTACAAGTAAAAATACGAAAAGACCGAATAAATGGGCGAATAATTACTGCTAGAGCATTCATTAAATAATTGTTGTAAATGTTAAATATGCAGATAGTAATTTTTATAAACATTTATTAGACAATTGCATCCTTGCCAATATATTTCTATCGCAATCGCGTGATCTGTTAATTGCATTCTATTTTTAAGTTGAACAAACAATATGAATTTTTATCAAAAGATCTCAGCTCGGAAGTTAGTCATACATTGTTTAGTTAAAGCTTTAGACATTTAAAATTAACGAGGGAAGATTAAAATGAGCATTTTTGAAAACTTCTGATGATGACATCGTATCAAATATTACGAGTCTATTACGTATGCTGTTTAAATATGATGCTGATAATGCAGGCTAGTAATATTTGCTCATTCCATTGGTCATATTGTTCCTTTAAATCTTGAATGGTCAATCACCCTAGAAAATAGCGTACATTAAATCCGTTACGATTTCTTTGAGAAAGTATACTTTAGTTTTGATGTGAAAATGATGGAAGAATTTTGTTGTGATATTGTACATGCCCTTCAAAATAGAGACTTCGATGTGTTACAAAAGTATTATTACAACATTCGTGAAAAAATTGACGCCAAAGTTGAAGAGGCAATTGCTTATGAAATTGGTACGTTTATGAAAGATATTCACTTAAAAGATTCCGAGGCATATGTATCGAACATCAATCAAAAACACTTGTTCATTTGTTCCTGATTTTAATTAATTCGTGAAAACTTTCCTATCTAAAACAAATTTTTCGAATAATTACCCAATATTAAACATTACAAGTATCTACATTAAATTAACGTCTTTTAATACAAAGAAGGAGCAGAATCTTAATAAATGATTTTACATAAAATTTTTTTAGAATAAGTGTGCGCAGTATTAATAATATGTTTATGCATATGATACATACTTCTTACTATTTTCTTATTTTATTATATACATATTGTTAGTAAATTATGAAAATAAAATGTACAAATTTATTTTGTTATTGACAGTTCTTTTATGCTTTCTTAAAATTTTAACGAATTTTATTGAATTATCAAGATCAAGTGTTTTTACTTTTCATGTAGAATGTAGAGAGAAAAGGACATTGAGGGTTAATAAAATATTAGAATTGCAACAAGAGTTTGAGAACCTGAAATCTGAAATAGATATGACAAAGTTACAACAGAAAGTAGTGGATAAAAAAATTCTGAATGCAATTAAGCAACAAGAAAAATTACAGGAAGAAATTGACGAACAAAAGTCAAAAAGAGATAGATTGGTTATTGAAATGATTGACTTACAACAAGGTATTTATTTACAAATGTATAAATACATTTATAGTAAGTTATAATTATAAGTAATTGTTTAAGAAACATCTGACTTTCTTTATAAATCTTAGAAAATATCTTTTTTAGAGGCTGCAAAAAGGAAGGAGAATAAGATATCTACTTGGGACGCTATTAAACGTGCCAGTTATATTTATAAACAATATTTGGACTTTCATATACAATTATTGGATAGAAAAGAATGTGTCCGTATAAAAGTTTCATTTTTTGTAACTAACGCTAATACTGAAAACAAATATTTTGTGCACTTATGTAATTTTGATGGTCAGTGGAAAGGTGCGTAATATTTATTTTTAATAGTCGTTAATATATTACATTCAAATATGTTTATAAAATAAGTTTCAAAAATAATCCTGTATCTTTCAGTGGAACAAATTCAACCGGCGCTTAACTCAGAGAATTTAAACGATTTCAAAGGCATCGTTGATCTTGTGAAAAATTCAGAAATTTCAGATGTTACTGCATTTCTGTGTAAATTGAGGCATATTTTTTCTAAATATTATTTGAATATGAAATAACAGTAAGGAATACTTTAAATATTAATTGCAACATTATTATTATAAGCGATCAGCAGTAGGGGAAATATATAATTTTACAGTTAGGATCATTCGTTATAATATTAAAGCCTTTATTAATAAAAACTAATATATCTAAAACGCCTTATTACATACATAGAATTTGTAACCCTATACATCGCAGACTTAACATTGGTATGATCTTATTAAAATATAATATTTATCATTAGTACAGTAATCTTCTGGTATTGTTACATATGTTGTGTCGCATGTCTTGATGTACTACCTGCTTACAGTTTATGTTATAAACAGTAAACTGCTAATCACAGAGTGGATAAATTACTTAGTTACTAAAATTACAAACAGGTCTCCATTTGATTTCTATTTATATATGGCACCTAAAGAGATATATTCGTAATTATATCTGTCCTATAGATATGCAAGAATAAACTTTGTTCGGAGTAAAACAATCGTTTATCCTGTTCGGCGCTGTCAATTTTGCTAAACTTTAAATAAATGTTTACTCATTTACCGAACAAGTACTATAAATATCGTCTAATACTCGGTAATTTGTTTTTTTTATTTCTCGCAGTGTTTATAATTCACCTATTTAAAATACTTAACTGATAAACTATTTTGTTTTCGAGCCCTAGCTAATGAAACTAGCAGTCGGCGTTACTTGTTTATTCGCACATATTAGAAAGTTATATATATTTATAACTTTATCTGATTTTTACACGAAAGAGAAATATAAAATAACGTTTTGTACGAACGCGTGACTTCATAGATAAAGAAATAAAACTAAACCACAATATTATGAACAAAATTCAAATAATGTTTTATTAATATTGTTTTCTACTGCATTCATTATAAATATTTTGAAAGTTTAAACTTCTATCGATCTTTTATTTGGAAATATAATCAAGCGTTGAGTGGTAATAATAACAAATTGTTTCGTTAGAATTCCTCCACTGTTCAAAGGCTTTGAAACAGAATTTTGTTTTTTTTTCTTATCTGTGGTTCGCGTTACATTAATTTAGATATTAATGCAGTTATGTACGAAATATCCGCGCGTCTTATTCATACATGGAAAGGGCCAATTGATTATGTATGCGTAGAAGCACGTTGATAACAATTCATCCCTATTGGCACAAGTTAACGAGAGGGTCAATTGATCGCCCACTGCCAATCAGCCCATATCGCGTACACAACGTAAGTTAACAGATTTCACTTACACTATTGACCCGCCCGATCGTTCATTTACTCGATCATTCAAGAATTTAATTGAAGATCGAAGCGTCGACGATGAGAATCGATGGATTACCATGATGTGAAAATGCGCTAGTCGTATCCACATTGCCGGTGCTGTTCGACTTCGATACGATTACAATCTAGCGAATGACTCGTTAAATCGAAAATTCTTTTTCCTAAGCAAAAAAAAAGAAAACAAACAAAACCGTGACATCATTGTGCATTTACCAATAAAGATCATATCTAATATATCTTACACATTATCATCGCACGCTAGATCTCAGTCGGTATCATCCGATACTATTAACGAATAATCTAATATGCGATCGGGAGCACGAAGATCATGATACACGATACGTCGCGCAAGCGTTATGGATAATACTTTGAAGCATGGATGATTAACGATGATTTGATTAACGATGATTTCTACCAAATTTCTTACGACATATTGTCCGCGCGATTCGTGTTACGCGTTTATGATTGTTCCGACAGATGCTAATAATAATAATATTAATAATATTAATAATAATAATAATAATTAAAAAAAAAGAAGAAATAATAGCGGAAATGAATGGTACACGTGAAGTCGAATTCGAAGAGGATGCTTATCTGCCGTTAACACGGCATATGGCATTCAAGAAGTAGCGGTATTAATGACTATTTACAGCGTAGTAATGTCACCTATTACAAAATAGAGATTCCAGCAGTTCGTTTCTAGACTCATACAACGGGACCATGATTTCGCGTTAATTGCTCATTCTTCGTTCACTCTCTGCGTTTCTCACTCGATCCGAACTGTCTCCTTTCCGGTACGGATCCTTTCGTGTCCTGGGCACCGTTTCTTCCGCGCCTCATGCCGGAAATCGTAGCCCCGCGATACAAAGGAAATCACACTCTCATGATATGTGATCGAAGCTTGTTAAAAATAAATATATATATCTTTCGTCACTTAATATCTACTAGCGTGCGTGTTTATCGATCGAGTGCTGATTTCTACCCCCGAACGATCGTCAGCCGTCGATCGATAGAATTGATCGCGCGTGAACAAATCACGTCGATGTTCGATGATGCTCGACCAGCATCCGTGTCGTCTCCTATTATACAACGTTTTCAAGATACAGTAATTCCTCTCTCAACACGATCGTTATTACCATTCGGTTCGAAAACCATCCACCGCAGACCACGTTACATTTTCAGTAATTTTTCAATTATGTAACAACAAAATATATTTAACAGGCCACAGTTTTCCACATAATGTGACGATGGTCTAACGTTTATACTTAATTCGTTTAGATGGATGCGAAACAGACAACTATTGTGGCAAACTGGAAACGATTTGAAAACGTTACAAGCTCACTGATAAACAAATCTAGAACAAAATTAAGATAAGTGAAAACTTGTGTTTCAGGAAAGGGATATAAGACCTTGCCACTGTAAATCGCGTACGACGCCTTCGATCGTTAGAGGACAGTTTGCGGAAGACGCGCGAGGGTCGTTTGATAACTAAAGCCTTCGACGACGCTATTATGCAAGTAACGGAGATACAAACAAATTCTAACACGCGTTTGTTAACCTCGAGCGTTCAATCTGAACGTGTAAACTTTCAGTTCCCTGTGGAATTCTAATCGGGCATCGTCGGTCTTCTTGTTCTCAAAGCCGTGAAAGGTATTCAAAGGTAAAGATTTTCAAGAGCAAGCCAGAACGTTTCTTCGTGGACGGAATGAAAAAACTGGATAGATCGTTTGGAAAAAATGTGCCTTATAAAATGGTGATTATGTAGAAAAATAAATGTGTACGTTTGAAGTACGATAAATTTACTTTATTTTGAGATCAATTTCATCAATTCCTCTAATCTCGAACATATTTTGTAGGATCGGAGACCTTGGTTATCGATCAATCCTCGGTTCCTGCACGTCCCCCGGCCGCGTAATGAGTATAAGAGAGGAAGTACTGTATCTCGCGGAAATTCAGGCAAACGGATCGAACGTATGAACTAAAACGCCCGTCTCGAACGTGAAGCGGGGTTGCACCAAGATCCACGACCGCCTCGTTTCATGCACTTTTCGGTCCACCTCGATGACCAACGGAACGTCACGAGTTTCACCGTTCCCCGTACGGCCCGTGAATCGAATGAACTGCTTCACGGTTCACTTTTCTTGCCTCTTCGAACATTCTTTTGCCAGCTCGATCGCTTACGATCCTCCGCGTTTCCGAGCCGTCTACTCGAGGGTCGCGGCGAAGGAGACGTTTCCGCCGGAAGCGGCCGCCGCGGCCGCCAACAGCAGCGTCGGCGGTAACGGTGGTAGCGGCGACGTCTGCTCGGTCGGTGTCGAGGCGGTGGTCGGGCAGTCGTTCGCAACTCCGTAGACCTTCGCGTGATTCACCTCGAGAGCCACGGTCAGGTCCGCGAGTCCGGGATCGCACAGCACCGGATTATCTGCAAGCAAAAAACATCGGAAGATCGCAAATGGGGGAAACTCTTTCTTTCTTTCTTTTATTCTTTTTTTTCGCTTTTTTTTTTTGCTCTTCTCTGACGTGCGAGGAGATAACGATAGGACCGATAGAAGTGGCTGACCGCGAGAAGGCACATTCGATCGTGTCGTGACATCGCGTAGTCTCGGATGACAGATTATTGAACGGTGTAATCGTCGTACGACTTGGGGGAACCGAGGCTGTACGAATACCACAGCAACGCATGGTTAAGCTTTCTTAAGGTTTGGGACTCGACTGTGAAAGTTACGCGCGCAGAACGTTGCTCGACAAAGGGAACGATTATAAGAGGAGGAAGCAAGATGAATATAGTACGTCGATCTTGTTCCTCTTCCTCGAGTAATCAAAGTTACTCGACGATTTAATTTAGAAAATCGAAGACAATAATTATCTTACGGCCGAACCAATTTTTAATCGATTTGGGATGTAACTTTGGGTCGTATATCGAGTTTAAGTAACGGTAGGATTTGTAAATAAAATATAGCACGACGACGATAATGTATCGAGGAGAGAACTAATTGCACGAGAATAATAAGAGCCATGGACCCTAATTGTTATAACCAAAATAAAGAAAAGTTACGGGGATAACGGTTCGTTTCTTGAGGGAAATATTTTTGGTTGGAAATTTTTGTTCGTCGCTGGTAACGATTCTCTATCGGCGAGGAAAATTTATTTCGCTCGCTCATAACAGTTACAATAATGTTATCCATTTTACTCTACTTTTCCCTATTATAATTCGTTTTACGTTACTGATATTGGTTATCAGTAATTCGAACCGAATGCCATGCTATTGGTAATAATAAAACACGAACTACAACGTGAAACAAAAAAATATGATTGAAAATATTTCCGCCATCGATAACGATTACGAGCGACCGAACACAGTTCTCTGTCAGAAATAATAATTGTTATTAAAAAGTTAAAAAATTGATATTTCTCTTTTAAATTTGCTACTCTTTTCTATTATCTTTAACTTACGTAACGAACAATTTTTTCTTTCAGAATCGAGGGCCCTTTGCTCCTTCGACGGACTAAATCGTGCCAGATACGGATCAAGTCGAGCAAAGCGTACGGTCCCACGAACCACCAAAAGGTTTTACAAATCGCTCGAACGTTCGAACGGTCGAAAAATTCGACGAGTCTCGGCCCTAAGTCCGGTCGTGCCGCCGCCATGCGTTTGTTTTCGCCGGCGGTTGTTTCTAAGAGTGCCGCTGAGGCCGCGTAAACACACAATCGTGGAGTTTGAAGATTGCAATAACAACGACGGGGACAAACTCGCGAATCGCTCAAGGTTCGGGATAGGGCTCGCTTCGTCGAGACCGTTGGACGAGGGACGAGATAACGGGGATTGGACACGATAACGGCCACGCCACGAAAAACCGTATACATTAACAATAACAACAGACAAGACTTCGTCTTCGGGATATACAATAAATAATACGAGATGGCGCCACGACGGGGGTTATCGCGTTGAAATGTAACTCTTATAACAAAATAATGTACGGCTCCGGAGCCCAACGGAGCCAACGTTATTATCAGCCAGTAATTTATTTTCTGCTGCCACCGGCCACTCTCATGACCCGACTCACATTCTGTCTCGTTCTTTCCTCTATCCCGCCCGTCCTCGCGACACTTAACGACGTGTTTATTAATTACGCGCTGGCGCCCATTCAGCGCGTTTGTGTCGGACGGGCGTCGTTATCCTTGCGAGGGTGGAAGGCGAAATCGCGTCGACCAGTATCGCCCCAATCGATTTGTTCGTTGTTAGAACGAAAGACGATTACGTGTATTTGCGCATTACGTTTAACCATTTCCAGTACGATGACCAACAGAGCGATCACCTACAAAATATCCATTCAAGCACGGAGGCTAACGTCGGTGATCGCTTGCTCCGACAATTCACATGGTTTTACCATCTTGCAAGAATACCATAAATATCGAAGCTTTTTCCGTTCAGATAATTTTGTTAACGAAGAGGCGATAATGTAATGCTAAATCGGAGGAGTACGGTGGATGTTCCATAATTTCCCAATTTAAGTCTAATTTTATTTCGACTCGTCAAGCATTCGTTTGAATGCTAAAACACTTTAACTTTGCCTAACAACATTTCTTTATAACGACACTGATCTAAAAAAATATTCAGTCGTCACGTTTTACACGCCTTGTATTGCGTATTGTCAACGTTTCGGTCAATTTATGACTACGATTACCATTTCCAGGAAAAATTATTACATAAGTTCTTGTTACGAGAGATGTGCAGGCCCCCACTTAACAGAACATTTGTCTTAATATATTTATCCGTGGTCTAAAGATACCGACGCAATTTTAATTGCCACGATTATTAAATACCTAAATTATCACTTTTAAGACTCTTCAGATAAAGCAATCTTGATTCAAGGATATGTTTTACGCGACAATTTAACGACTACGTATTGTGCTAATCAATTAATTTTCTTTTCTTTCTTATAGTGTTAAGATAACTATATTTAGTAGTTTTATATTTTGTCTGTGCTCTTGGACTATATTCCACCTTTATAAAATCATGCAATTACCCTGGCTTAAAATGTATACTTTGTTTCAGTTTGTGCTATAAAGGTATTAACAAGAAGCCTCAAGTAGATCTTGAGAAAACAATGATTAATGAGGAGATTTGCTACCAGGCGAATGCTGTAATTTAAAATCCCTTCGGTACGTGCAATTACGAGACAGGGCAAAAATGGAAGACTAGCGGGCATTAAAAGCTCGGAGCCACGAAGTGCTTTGAAGCGCGAAATTTGCAAGGAATCACGAACAAAAGCGATTTTGTAGATAGATACGGTTTTAAATCACTTGTCGCGAGGTTTCGGTTATCCGTCCTGTCGCGGACCCGATCAAACCGGTTAATCGAAGTCCAACTGTAATGCCACACTCGTGCCGCAGAATACGGTCCCAATGTGACAAACACGTGTTGCGTTCATGACACACGACAACGTACCATTTTACAGCCGTCGATGCTTAATCTGAGCGAGGGGTGAATGTTCACGATGTACATATGCATTAATGAATTCACGTCGTCTACCGTGGTCTTCTATTTTATATCTTATCTCGGGAAAAATTGAAACGCTTAAATAACGCCTCGAAAAGAGACATCTTCTGCGTACGAAAATGACGACGAGCATGCCAATCTGTATCGAAACAAAAAAAACGATGATACATTGGACAGTAATTATTTTATACGGTAACGGCGCAATCTCTGACGAGAGTAAAGATTGCTATGCGCTTGTTAAAACAACAAAAGACTCTATCGTTGTTTCCGTTACGATGTGTAGAATGTCTCGAAACACGGATGCAACGCCGAGGAAAACGATTCGAAAAAATAAATTTAACACGCGAGATAACATTTTTCTTTTTCGAGTACTTGTTTTCATGAAAATGTTTTATTTACTATACGGGGCATCTTTAGCGAGAGCTCTTCTGTCAAAATATATATCGTCCCTTAGCCTTGGGCCATATTTTCGAATCAAACGAATTTGGTATAAACATCCGTGTCACATTTGTCTAAATACGTATGACGACTAAAACGAATCGATATTCTGATTATACTAAACACACAGTGTAACGTCATGTGTAACACGTGTTTGACAAATATTTTGCCATAATAGAAGATACGAATGACGTTGCTCGATTATCAATTTATTTTAATTACTATATTTTTTTAACAGATATTTATATTACGTTTCAGAATAATTTACAAATGGATTTGTCTAACAAGGAACCATCGCGAACGGTCCGGCTTCGATTTTAATGAAACTTTGTACACTTATAAAGCAGCCAAAAATAATCGACACGTATTTTTTTTTAGCTGCGGTAACTCGAGTTTAAGGGGTGAAACCACCCCTTGAAGTTTTGGCTCGAAACGGCTATCTCGAAAACGGAAAGACATACAAAAAAATTGTTAATGGGCGAGGTTGATGGTTTCTTATGTACAATAACATGGTGTTAAAAAATTAAAAAAAATACAATTTGTTTATAACAAAAAAAATTTATTAACTTAATTTTTCATTTTATTGAAATTTTCATAATGACAAAAAATGACGAGCATTTTATTCCAAATCCATTGGTATGCGATTTTTTAAAATTGCCTCCTACAGTTTTGCAGATTTTGATGATTTACATCTTGCGCGCACATCCATTATGGTAGTAGCCGTTCTAACTTTGATTTTAATGAAGCACTGTAGGCTTGCACTACTTCTAGAGGACAAAATCGGGAAAAATACAAGAATACCAATTTGTTGATGGAGGCTTCGTTAAGAAATTATTAACGTTTAAAGTTCCGCCCGTACTGAATTTTTTTCTTCGAAATGCCCAAGATTTCGGGGGAATGTGTAATGACCAAAAATGATTGTAATCGACCCCTGCAACCGAAAATAATTTTTTCAGAATGGTTTGAAATTTTTTAATTTTGTTGAAAAATTTCACACATTATCGAATTTTTTTCTCAAAAGTGCGTAGGATTTCGGGGGTATATATATTGACCAAAAGTGATTGAAATTAACTCCCACAACTGAAAATAATTTTTTTAGAACGATTTGAAATTTTTTTTTTTCGCTGAAAAATTTAGGCACCTACGCCCTGTCGATTTTTCTTAAAAATTCGTTTTTCATTTTTAATAATTTTGTTTGACGCCCTACAAAAAAGTTGGCCAATACTTTTTTGTAGGTACCTATGAGCTCTACTTCAGAAAAAAGTTTCATTGAAATATATTCACTATTGTAGGAATTATGGCTGTTTGAAGATTGGACCATTTTTATGGGGTTTTTCTCATTTTTCAGGGTCAAGGCTCAACATTTTGCATATTTTTGCGATTTCGACGTATTCTTGATTAAAATACGCGTCGTTTGCATTTTTGAAAATTAAAATCCTTCAATCCGTTCAGAAGTTATGACATTTTAAAGATCCGCATGAAATTTTCGGACAACATTTCTGGCCATAAATTACATTTTCAATTAGGAATTTTTTTCTCGAAAGTGCGTAGGATTTCGTGGGTATATGTATTGACCAAAAATGATTGTAATTGGCCCCCGCAACCGAAAATAATTTTTTCCTGGAGGATATGAAATTTTTTGATTTAATTTTTTAATAAGTTTTTAACGAAGGCTCAATCAACAAATTGATATTCTTGATTTTCGTCTTATTTTGGCCTCTAGAATCTCCCATTAAAATTTTTCCCAAGGGTGGCCGAACTTTTCCAAATCCATTGGTATGTAATATTTTAAAATTGCCTCTTACAGTTTTGCAAATTTTGATGATTTACATCTTGCGCGCACATCCATTATGGTAGTAGCCGTTCTAACTTTGATTTAGTGCAAGCCTACAGTGCTTCATTAAAATCAAAGTTAGAACGGCTACTACCATAATGGATGTGCGCGCAAGATGTAAATCATCAAAATCTGCAAAACTGTAGGAGGCAATTTTAAAAAATCGCATACCAATGGATTTGGAATAAAATGCTCGTCATTTTTTGTCATTATGAAAATTTCAATAAAATGAAAAATTAAGTTAATAAATTTTTTTTTGTTATAAACAAATTGTATTTTTTTAAATTTTTTAACACCATGTTATTGTACATAAGAAACCATCAACCTCGCACATTAACAATTTTTTTGTATGTCTTTCCGTTTTCGAGATAGCCGTTTCGAGCCAAAACTTCAAGGGGTGGTTTCACCCCTTAAACTCGAGTTACCGCAGCTAAAAAAAAATACGTGTCGATTATTTTTGGCTGCTTTATAAGTGTACAAAGTTTCATCAAAATCGAAGCCGGACCGTTCGCGATGGTTCCTTGTAAGCCAGGGATGATGAACTGGCAGCTATAAAGCCAGCTGGGGCTCCTTCCCCTACCTTTGTGTTCTGCACAAGCGTAGCAGAACTGTCCCCACTATGCTTACTATGCAGAGTTGGGACGTAGGCACGCTGGTCACCTAGCTAGTGTCGAAACGAATGGTGGGAGAATCGGTTGGCTCGTAATGGGACTCTCATGGCTCTCGGCGGAGAAGAAGATGCTGAAGAAGCTAGTCACCCCTGGTCTACGCCATCGACATCGGACATATTGTTTCGGTACATACGATGCTTTTTTAGACACTTATTCTCAAAGGTACTTTGTTTAATGATCTGTTTGCTCGTACAATTTTCATTATCTTTACAAAGCAATCAACAGTTTTCTTTTTAAAAAAGTAACAAAGAAGGTCTAAAAATTGCACGCCCGGACCAGAATACTCAAGTTTTCCAAAGATGCAAGTGTCGACATAAATACAGACGCGAATATTGATTTACAAAATTCGTTAATAGATTCTAATTTATAGAAAATTTCTATTCATTAGCGAATTATTCTATTAAAGAAAAATTTTCCAATGCATTCGAAAATAATAATATACCGTGCTCGTTAATTTGTCTATGATAACGTGTACGAAAACTACTACGATCGCTGAATAAGGAGAATACCGTGAGAAATAAAAGAAAGAGGACAAACGTAATTCCATCGGTCTGGATCGGAATCAGCTACTATGCACGTGAACCAAATACAGCTGTGTTTACTTAACTTTGCCTTTGCGCAACCACCAGAGCGTTCTTTGCCCTTATCAAACGGGTATTTGCAATTCGTCGAAAATAATACAAAAAACGAGTCTGACGAATCGTTACGTGGTAGCGTTATCGATTCGCAAATATTGCACGCAACGCGTTACGTGGATTTGTTTAAGATGACGCGTTCTGCTTACCTTGGAGGTATATACGCAGTACGTCCTGGACTCCGTGAACAGTACAGCGCGTGTTCATAACCAGTTCTGGCATGAGGGTGCGTATCCGATTCGCGCTTACGTCCGCCCAGCAGAGAACCGGAAAGCCACGGAAGTCCCTTTCGGACAACGTCACTAGGCGGTTGTGAGACGCGTTCAGTTCCTCCAGGGATGGTAGCCACGTCTAAGTAGTAAAAATTATCACTTATTGTAAAAGAGATTCCGCAAACTGATTTTCACGTCAACGCGTTGACCGCCATGTCAGTTCTCCATGTTCGAAGACGCCCAAAGCGTTGTCAATCTTTCAAAATATTCATAATATTGCGTAATATTTTCAACGATGGTCACTTTACATGAAGGTTTACAAATATCAGAGTTTATTCGTTCCTAATATTTTGAACCGCCATGGAAGTCAATTTCGTACATTTTAGTCGTCTTAGTCCTGAAATTATTTTTTTGGGATAAGAAACACTATTCGTGCGCCTGAAATTATTTTGGGTTCAATAAATATTTATTTAGGAGAAGAGAACATCATATAATTATCATAAAAAATTGATCATTGATCCAAGAAAAGAATGCAATTTAATATGTCATTACTATTTTGTGTGATAGAATGTTTTGTAACAACATCGTCGGAATGAGTGCATAAATCTTTTGTAAACCGTGATATACTATTAACAGGACACGGTAAATATGAGCACGCGTTTTTCAAACAAATTTTTTAATTTTAATTTCGCTAAATCGGGACGAAAATGTTAATACTGGTCGGTATAATATCAAAAAGATCGTGTTTATTGGCAAGGATCGTATAAAAATACTTTCGTGCAGAGTTGGGCAAACTTCATCAATTAAATCTAAAATCTTTATTCGTTATCCGTGAATAATATTTGCCAAACTCTGTTTCCACGCTTTCGCTGTGAACAATTTCCAGTTTAACGATTATAATTTGTTGTAGGATCATTCTTCGAACGCCTGCGAGATCAACAATTTTCATACCTCTGACGTGTCCTCGAGAGTGGTGAGTTCATTGTGAGATAGATCGAGTACCTTAAGGCCGTCCAGGCCCCGTAAATCGCGCGGCCCGATTGTCGGGCCCAGCGCGTTGTGACTGAGATTCAGCCTCTGCAGCTCCTTCATTCCCAAAAACAACGACCCGTCCAAACTCCGTAATTCGTTGTGCTGTAGTCGCATATCTTGGATATTGCCACCCGCCGATTCCTCTCCTTCTTCCTCTACTAAATTCTAGAAATCCAACGGAAACGAATATATGATTGGAATGTTAACGCGTCTAGTGCCCGGGGGTCACCCGTGACCGACATTCCGAACTGGAAACGCTTCCTTGACACTATTTCTACCAAAGGTATCGAAAACGTTGCTTGATTCTGTTTATTATAAACAGAACGAAGCGCACGAAACGTTACTCGAATCGAACAAGAATTTCAATAGTAACCTCCATGATGACTTGTAAAGCACCATTGAATGGAAATGTCACGTGACTCGAACAAGAAAATCCTATCGCTCTTATTGTAAAATCCTGTACATATTTTGTGAGAATGTATAGCCTATAATGAATTTTTTTTTTTTCGAATGTCCATTCCTATGCTGTTATTATTCGATATTAAGCCGGCATACAATGTGTCAATGTTATTATAAACATATTTATACAGCGTACACGTACCTCGGACGGTGTCCTTCCTTTGTGGAGCCGCGCGATTTTGTTGTTCGATAGATCGAGCAATCGCAACTCGCGCAAACCACGAAGCGACGCGAAGGAGAACTCGCGAAGCTCGTTGTGCGTCAAGTTTAAGCTCTTCAGAGACCTAAGGGGGTAAAGGACACTGTTGCCCCCGTTTCCATCGCCGTTAGCACCGACTGCGCCGCCCAACGATTTCAGAGAATTGTGTCCGAGCTCGAGGTCTTCCAGCAGTTCCGCCTCTAGGAAATCCTCTTCGGTCAACTGAGGGAAAGTAATTTTTCATTGCATAAAAAAATATTCCTTGCAACGTTTAATTCACGTTAAATGTATTTTTCGCGGGAAACCGTGGTAGAAGTAGCGTTAACAAGCAACCACGTTCAACGAACGATAAGAAAACCGACGATACATATTTCCAACGATATGGAAATTATTTTATACAAACGCAAACATAGATGGAAATTTAAGCTCGATTTTCTTCGCGATAAAGTCCCGAGATGAGATCGTACCGTTCCGCGTTTTCGACTTATTTTTTTTTAACAAAGAAACGTCTCCTTTATCTCCGCATTTCCGAGCGTTAAACGCGAAACCTTTGAAAGCGGTCGTTCGAGAAAAGTCAGTCGAGCAGATTACGGACGAAGACCGGCGTATACCCGTCCGTTTCAATAAAAATTTCATCCGCAGGACGGAAGCTCACGACATAATAATTACGTTAGGATGCAGTAATTGGCTTAATGCATGGAACACTGAGCGAACGCCTCCACGCGTTATCATGCTCCGTGATCGTGCGCTTGCACTTTACGCGTGTATCTGCATGTTTTACAAGGCACCGTTTGCGTTCGTATCAACGTCAAATTGAAGATAATCAGCGACGAATTAAAATCCTTTATGCGCATCGACGTTCGGCTACACGATACGCGGAAACGCCGCGCATCGACCGTAGCGTGCGTACGCGACCACATGCTTCGAACTGTATTTAAATTGTTTTCCTGATTTTATTCAATTAGCCGGGTCGTCAATGCGCTCGTTGCACGACAGAAACCGAGATAGAAATTTTTAACGTAAAAGAAGTTAGAAGTTTTCGAAGAGTGTTTTGGCTCGCTTTAACACTTTGATGGCCGCGCGTTTCACGCAAAGAGATTATCGTCCGCCATCGGGCAGCGAGCGTCTCGTTCTTGCATTTTCACCAACTCGTCTAGCAGTTCTTTCGAAAGCCGCGCGTAGTTTTCTCTTTTCCCATAAGAATAATTCGAGTGTTTACCTCTTGCAGATCGTTGTACGACAGCTCGAGAAATTTCAGTCGTCGAGCTTTCTGCAACGTGCCGTCCAGGCTACGAATTTTATTGTACTGAAGGAACAGGGTCTCCAAACGATGCAGGTAGCGGAACTCCGCTGGCAAGTGAGTCAGTTTATTGTCCACGGCGTAGAGCATCTTCAAGTTATGCCCGGAGGACGGTAGCTCGCCGTCCAAGGATGTCAGCTCGTTGGTGTTAATTAGCAACCACTCCAGCTGATTCAAATCTCTGTAACAAAGTTAAGGCGCCGTGGATTACGCGCCCTTCGTCCCCGAGAGATTTAAAACGTACGATTGCCCCCGGCTAACGATCGGTATCGATGTCGATTAAGAGCAAAGTGGAATCGATATTTAAGAAACAAGAAGAAAAAGAGATGATTGAAATAAGAAGATAAATAGAGAAAATTGGTAAATAGGAACGGGACAAGAAATTGCAGATTGCTACGGTAAAATCACGCGTACGTGACGGCGGCCGTCAAAGTGTTAAAGCAGATAACGTGTTTTGGTATTTTTTTTTTCTATAGGAAACACCACTCCTAGCTTAAATACTATACGCATTATTTGAAAGCTGCCACTTCAACGCGTAGTTTTCGAAGAAATTAGTCACGTTTGGTAATCTTATTCTTAAATGGGCGTTGAACTGAAAATCGCATTATAGTAGGCTTATTGGCGTTGATAATGACTGAAGATCCACTGCGATTGAAAATGTTGAAAATCATTAGGATCCACATAATTTCAGCTTTAAATCTTCTTTCGAAACGCTAATAATAGACGATTTCTGAATCGAGTTGTCTCACAAGCGAATATATAAATAAATTATTTTTAATAGCGTGGAACGAAAAGAACATTGTAAGATAGGTAGAAGGTAGAAGCAGAGAGTAGAGAAAATAAGAATATAGGGTAATGTATAGATAAGACGGAACAGCAATTGGTCAAGGTAAAAGTAAATAGATAAACAAATAGGAAGGGACGAACGATGCTGCTGCAGTTTTCGATTCAATTTATGTGCAAAGAGAACGAAGTGTTTTCTGATACGTATAATCTTAAGCGTCGAACACGTGACCGTGAGCTTAATTGTTCTATTCTACGCGTATAATCTGCGCGTACGCGTTCGCTCGATCGTTCGGTCGTCCGATGAACGACTCGTCGCATCAACTCTGCGCATAGAGCCAATTAAACAAGAGGCACGGTTCAGAGTGGTAAACAGGATGTCCGATACGTTCCGGGAGCTACGCGAAACGACGAAAATTTTTCAGTAATCAAGAAAGCGTCGTACCGTAAAGTTCGATTCAGGCTTTGCAAGTGATTGCGGCCGACGTGGAGGTGCTTCACTAACGGCGGTAACGAGCCCGGGACCATTTCCGAAATCGCATTTCCGGCCATAGACAGATGCTGCAGCGTCGGATTGTACTGAAAATCAGACATAAAAGTGCATTTTTTTTTTTTAGGAAAATAGCTACAAAGTGTTTGGGGTGGGGGGAAAGGTTATCGTTTAATGTTACGTTGAATTGCGTCATTAGAATGACGTTTATAAGATGTCGACAAACTTTACCGGATCCACGACTACGTAATTTTTAACCAAGAATAATAATTGTCAGGTGTAGGTCGTATTAACAAAGAAAGATTAGATTAAATTCGAGCGCGAGGGGATCGTTGCGGGAACGTTTAAAGTGCGCGTGGAGGATCGAAAATCAATGCTTCAACTGCTGACTGTTGCACGATAAAGTGTTTTTGAGATACAGGCGTTATTGTTGCATAATAATTATCTGTGATTTGTTTTCCATTCGTATGCAAACGCGCAATACCGAGACGTTCAATAGGAAATTTCGCGGAGCAAGGGAGCTTGCGTAAACGTAAAATGATTATTTTGTAATAGAAGCTCCTTGGACGGTACCGCGCGTGAAACTCGCGGCTTCGAATAATAAAGCCGTCGCGTTGAATATTTAAATTTAAGCATTTTAAATATTTTCTTTTCGCATTGTTGTTATTTTTTCTCGTTTCTCGAACTCGCGTAACGTGCGATAAACAGCACGTGGCGGTCGCGAATAAAACAATCTCATAAGTAGCACGAATCGTCTGGAGAACGATTGGCGAACAGTTCTCTGCACGTGGCCGGTCACGTGCGGCATCGAGCGCCAGGGAAACCCCACCGCCTTTCCGTGCCCGTCTTTCTCTCTTCAAGATGAATTGTTTGTTCATACACCCGACTACAAATATGTATATATTGCAAAGTCACGCGTAACGTGCAAAACATACTCAACAGAAACTATTTCTCTGCGTTATTAAAGAAAAAGGCTGTGTAAATAAGAAAAAAAATACAATAGGAAACGCTTTTCCTTTTCATTCAACTCGTGGAATATGAAATGCACGTACACAGGGTATTTTGTAAAATGTGGGCCAACTATAGCATTTTCTAAATTTTCCAATGGTTTGGACTTTTGAGTGGAAATTGGAGAAAATTAATTATAGAAGCTGAAAGAGTATGATAAATAAGATTGTCGAGCTGATTTCATTAGGTTTAGAGTTCCGAGAAGCGAATAAAAATTATTCTATTCCATTTTTAATCAAGTTTTGTTTAATTTTGCATATTTGAGTGCCGAACAGAATGTATCTGTAGGTATTTTTAAGTGAAATTTCATAAATTAACGATTTATTAAAAAGATAATATCGTGAATATAAGTGCGACGTAGAATTTTTCGTTAGAAATGGCGACTAAAAAATTGTATTTTAGCGGCCTCCAGGGACGAACAACTAAAATTTATAAGCCGTTATAGAAACGTTTACAAATAGCCAACCAAGATCACGACTTCCTGAGCGTTAAGTGCAAACATTTGAATAGAATTGGCCGTACTGGCTGAGTCTGCAACGAGCATTGTTGAAAAATTGAAAGCGCTTGCAAGTCGAGTGCAAAGTCAAATACGATAAATGTTCACGTAAATTTTTTCTTTGTTACGTTTCGTATATTGAATTTAACTTCTGAGTTATGCCCATATTTTACAAAAATGTATTGTACAATGTTTCTAATTTGAATTTGAAGTTTGATCCAGGGAATTGCGTCTCAATCAGCAAAATAAATCAAATTTATATTCGCGAGTAGCGATTGCGTTCGAAAGTTTCCGTATTTTTAATAAAATTTTCATTTCTCTTTTCATTGTCAACATAGTCATCGAGTGCGAGCAACTAGCGAAGTTATGTTCAGAACTGTTAGATGAAAAGTCGGCTACGAGAACTGTAGTATCTCTTTCGATGAACTAGCTTTCGTAATTGTAGATATCCGAATACTCGTATCTATTGCTGTAATTACGAATTCGATAACTTAGAATTACAACGGATCTACGAGTCATGCTCAGCTCACGGAATAACGGAATCGATAGATTCATAAATGTGATTCATTGGTAAAAATATTGTTTCGAGATTCTCGAGAGCGTTGGGACATTTGGTGGGAAAACACAATCACTACTTGCGACAAAGAAAACTGGTTAACGGGTCGGTAAAGCGGAGATTTATGAATTATTTTATACTCGTGCATACCTTGAAGTCATCCGAGTCTATACGGCTTATCCGATTTCTGCTGAGATCTAGGGTCCTCAGCAACGAGAGATGCGACAGAATGTGTCGCGGTATAGATGGTACCTCGTTATCCGCGAGACTAAGATACTGTGTTCTTCCTAACCCCGTGAAAACATCGCCGTCTACGAACCTACAAAACATGAAGTTGATCTTTATTTTTCAAATAAAATCACACTTGATGCTTTCGAATTAACAAAATCAAATTAAAATAGCAAGTGATCGACACAATCATTATTATTTCGAACAACATACATTTCGACCTTTGGTTCATATCCTTTTCTTTCCATGTTTGCCTGTTCGAGGCCAATTTTTTAAACGATCCTTTCAGATCAACGATTCGAAACTACAGATGGAAGGTGTTAACAATTCAAAACGTTAATCGTAATAGTTTTAACTTATTATACGTTTCTACGCAAACAAATAATTCCTTCCATCGTTTATTAAAAACGGATACGAAGTTATGTCGTAATGCAGTAATTGCTAAATTTTACACTTTATTTTATTTGTATTTATGGTGCAATCAAATTGTTAAATAAATGGTAAATTTTGTTTAGGAACGATTAAAATCTTTAGGCAATTACGGTATTGATGTTGCGAGATTATTTTCGAACAGGAAAATTTAGAAACTTTTCGAATTTCGAATGGCATCCCCCGATAATGCGTTATCTTCGTTAGTGAGAGATCGCACGCAGAGCAAAGCGTGGCCCTTGTAAACACATAGCTAACAAGAGATATACAATCGATTCTCAATTATCAGCAGCGAAACGAAATTATCGCCCATTGTCCTAGTCAAGGACCAAAGTAGAAAAGTCAGATCTTTCCGTGATGCTCCGATCAAAGATAGGAAGGCTTGAACTACGTTAAAATACGAATAAATTGTTTAATTGATATAAATCGCGATAAAATATTGCTCTTGAATATTGCATTCTTCCACGTTAGAAAAATGTAATTTAATTTAATTACACTGGCACATTAATTCGTTGAAATATTTGCGTTTTTATCTCGATCGATTAACCAACGACTCGGGCAAATTAAGCAATTTGTAATAAAATTAACATTGAATGTCGATTAATTGCTTCCTCTGTTTTAACAAACACTCTCCGATCTCGACGATCTCATCCTCGTCCTTGTTGGCCGAGCGAATCATTATCGAGATACCGGCGTACGGAATGGGAACAATGGAATTTTCAAAACGGTGCCCAACCACGGTCATTATCGTTCACATTATGATTATTCACATAATGTCGGTTCACAGTGTTTCGTTATTTAATTATTCCGAACCGATAAGCGTAGGGCTTGTCGATAACTCGCTCGAAGAGGTCAGGCACGATTAAGATTTCATTCTCGCGTTGGTCTCCGTCTCTCTTTTTCTGTCTCGCGTGAGAAGACGCATTCTCGATGATCGTTCGCTCCTCAAGGACTTTCGTTTTCTCACATCTCACGCGAACTGCTCGTCGTATCAGGATAATCAAGGAAGACCAGTACTCGTCCTTTGTGCCGTTCGCATCCGCGAAGACGATAATTTTATCTAGAAACGAGGAGTCTCGCGATTCTCGTCGCGGTTGTACCTCCGATCAACGGATCAACATCGATAATTGAGATCCCGTCGACGGTATCGTCGTATCTCACGGGCGTTTCTTTTCGTTTGAAAAGAACCGTTTTCGAACAAGTTTGGACAAAGGCTCCCCCACATTCATATATTAATAATTTCCTTTTCGCGATGAAATCCCGTTCTCTATAGCGGTCACAATACGAACTTTCGAGACCGGACGAAAAATTTATGTCTTGTTTCGTTATCTGCGTATTATTTAATACATTATCAATAGCAGTATAAAAACATAAAGAAATAAAAAGTTGCCATCCGAAGATAAACGAGGACAAAGATTATAGTAATTGCTTCAGATAGCAATATACATCTCGCATTAGAATAAATATGTTGTAAATTGAAGGACACCGGTTGTTGCCGCTTCGTCAAACATTTTACATATATGCGTCTATTTCGGTTTGCGATTTAATTGCACTGATTGGCAGTCGCTTTTTTGTTATATACAAAAACATCTTTCATCGTTGCTCGCAACATCAGACGATGACCTTTCGTAAAGATATCGTCGCTTGTATCGATGCATAATGTAGTGCGTTTACGCGCATCCTACTGTACGAGTCTTCGATGGCAAACATTTGCTCGGCTATACCTGCCGTAATTGCTTTGTAATTATTTATTTTTTTCTACGCGCGCGCTCAGTTTCATCACCTTCTTCCTTTCTTTGTTCGCGCTTTAGCTGCGCCTCGTATAAGTACTAAGCGATTCGTAAGTGATTGAGGAATTTTATGGTCGGACATAAAATCTACGCAATAACATAGTTACTTTTATTTTAATTAATTTCCTGGCTCGTACACGTATACATATATACATATCAGATATGTTATATATATACAGATAAACACATTATTATGTAGATTATAACAAAATACTTGGATTCATAATTTGTGTTTTATAATGTATACGTATATATATATATATATACAAATTATGAATCCAAGTATTTTGTTATAATTTACATAATAATGTGTTTATCTTTCACCCGATTTCCTAACTCGTTATACATTGCAACAATTCACTCAACACTTTGTACTTAGTAAATTTATGACATTGTTTTGAACTCGCGTAACGTTCCTCGCGGAGAAATTTCTTTCCCCGTTGTGCTTTAGAATAATTTAAAAATGATAAAAGCTTTCGGATCGAAACGCCCAAGAGGAAAAATGAATCGCATGTTTGGGTTCACATAATTTATTTTTAATCGATGATTTTGCATCTCCACGATAAGTAAATCGAACCAGTTTAATACACGTACCAAGCACTCGATTCGTAACGAAACTGCGGAGCAAACGATAGTGTATCGAATCGGTACGATACGTACAAAGATGTATCGAATCGAAATACAGTACGCGTTCAAAAACAGCTGAATTAAAGTTAGGTATCGTTTTCTTACGTCTCGTAACAGAGTCGCGTAAGTCTACGATGTTTACCAAAGTCAATAAAATATAAAAAAAAATCGCTCGCGTACTTCGTTACTCGCATTTATTCTCTCGTCGACGACGGATACGGTGTAATTTATGTCTCTATCGATGAAGATGCTCCGAGATACCGATGTCGAAACGGATAGATAATGATTTTGAGGAAAAGAAAGAGCTGCCATTTGCGAAAACAAATGGCAAAAAGGGAAAACAAGTAGAGCTAAAAAGAAGTTTAAAGCTTCTAGAAACGCGATAAGAACGGTTTCGTTCGATTCAAATGTGTACGCGTGGTTAGAGTAAGCGTGGCTGATATCACTTATCCGCGCGTCACTATCGTCGTCACACGATTTTCTCCGTTGACGCTCGCGGGAGCTCAAAAGTATTTCCATGGTTTCGCATCTTCCACGAAACGATCGAGGAAGATTCCTTGAAACCGCGAGGTCGATCGCGAGCGAAAGTATTCGTTCTGCTACGTTGACTTGAAACACTTTGTCGCGTATCGATCCGAACGAATCCTTATACTCGTTTGATCGAAACGTTCACATTCTTGCGCGCAAAAAATGTTCTCTCATCGAAATCGGTAAGGTAACCGATCATGAAACAATTGTTGAAACCGGTTAGATTCATAAATCGTGTCGTTACTAGTTTTTTTGTCACCTTCAAATCTATTGTACTTTTTATGGTTCTCTTGTGCATTCTTAATTCGGAATGCGCTTTACGATCTTTGCATCGAGTATCGTATTTTATTTGAAGGATTCCAAGATATTCCGCGCCTAGCTTCCTACAAAATTCGACTTCGTCGTGCATAGGATCGATCATCATTACGATCTTATCGTTTGTAAACACAATATGCATACACTGGAATTTGGTAGGAAGCAGGAAAACAAGATTTTTTTTTAACGTTGCATTTTCTGACGCGATCGTGTCGCATAATATGTCACATAGCATTACATTCATCAGTGTTATCTACATCGTACACCACCGTACAACAAACCTACTTGATGGTCATCTTAAGTATATACTCTTTCTCTTATCTTATTACAACTCTATTTATACTCGTAACCATTTTTTTCATGCTGTACATTTTATCTTTCTTCTCCCATCTTTAGGCAAGAACAAACTTTTATAAACAGTCAGATTACATTTTGCAATAATATAGTTTGTTCGAACTAGTGTACATTTTAAGATTAGATATTAGGTAGACTTTGCAAATATTTCTCTCCTACGCTATATCTTGTTGACTAACTTTTACTATCAACCAAGAATCCTGATTAGGAGAACGTATACCATTGAAAACTCCTCAAGGAGCCAGTCTGGCATTTTCAATTGAAATATAAGAGTTTTTGTCATTTTTCACTAAACAATTTCACTAATTCAGGAAATAACAGAAAAAGAAATCGACTTTTTGATTTGAAATTACCAAATTGCCAACCCCTTTTTCCCATGCACTCTTTTGCTCCATTTAAAAACTCGGTCTTTGCGTCCATTCATAACGTGAGTGCAGGGTGTTCGGCCACTCCTGGGAAAAATTTTAATGGGAGATTCTAGAGGCAAAAATAAGACGAAAATCAAGGATACTAATTTGTTGATTGAAGCCTCGTTAAAAAGTTATAGAAACATGCCCGGCCACACAGTATATTTTCGATAAGAAATTTTTTTCTCGAAAGTGAGTAAGATTTCGGGGTTATGTCTATTGACTAAAAATGATTGCAATTGACCCCCGCAACCGAAAATAATTTTTCCGTGAATGATTTGAAATTTTTTAATTTCATTTTTGAATCAATTTTTAACGAAGTCTCAATCAACAAATTGATATTCTTGATTTTCGTCTTATTTTTGCCTCTAGAATCTCCCATTAAAACTTTTCCCAGGGGTGGCCGAACACCCTGTATAAGTAAAATAACATCTCCGTTATCTTTGCTAGATACCAACACGTAATTACATTATGTTATCGTAATTAATGGGATATTCCCGTTCGTTCGAATCGAATAAAGTAAACAATACGCGAACGAGAATCTCAAGTAGTACGAAACGAACGGCGACGAAGAATTACGGTGGTTGGTGAAGCACCGGGTTCTTCATCCGTGGGCGAACGTCAGAACGACGAGGACGATATCGTGTCGTCGCACGTGAAAACAAAAGTTTAATCTGACGCGCGCGGCGCTGGGAACCACGACGCGCGAGCGTGCAAACTTACACTCACCCTAGATGATCGTGGTTGAGCTCGAGCCTGGTAATGGACATCCGCAGCTCTTTGAAATCGTGACGCGATATATCCCTGAGATTCGAATGGGAGACACGCAGGGTAATTTGCTGTTCTGCGGTGAACTTCCCCCTCAACGCCCCTGCCACTTGCTCGAAGGAATCCATGCGCTCGCAAACGACCTCGATTCGTTCCCCGTGGCCGTGGTGGCCGGCATTGTTACCGGTGTTGGCGGCAGCGGCGGCCGCCGCCGCGGCCGCGGCCGGGTTGATAACGGGACTAGAGAACTCCTCCTGCCGGCAGGTGCACGGGCTTATCTCACGGCGGACAGCGCAGTGAAGGCTCGTGCTGGCCGCCAGCCCTAGAAGCGTGTAAAACAGACCCGACATGGTCGTTCGAACGTTAAAACGCGACCGCACCGATCACCATCCAAACGGCCAATAGAAAGGTCCGCGGTTCAGGACAGGGGGTGATCTCTCCACGGGCCGCACCGACCATGCGCGCCCCCTCGTTCTCGAACCACCCGATTTCTATCGGATCCTCTGTATATCTATCACTGACACCATACACCGATCCTCCTCGATACCGAACGCGAGTCCACAGCTGACACAAAACGCCGTTGATCACACAGTGTTTCTATTTCCTTTTTTTTTTTTTTTTGTTTATATCGATCTCTCACCGGTCATACGTTAGAAAGGAATTCGTCTCGTTGGTGAACTCGAACGACGAACCGTTGTCACGCGCTATTCGTCTAGAGGGACCATCGGTGTCTCCGACGGTAGCTAAAAACACGCGACGAAACGCACGTACGGAACAGAGGCTAGACGAGAGGGGTTGAAAACTCTACGGTTACGACACGGCTGTGTAAATCAGTACCTTTGCGAAAAGACACACGGACCACTGTTCCACCGACACTAACTGCGGACTGACACTGGTCAGACACGACTGACAGCCACGTATTATCTACACTGTCGCGATCCACACCCCGGCGGGGTATAGTATATGTGTATTCGCTGCTGAAACGCGGGTGAAAGCTGGCTGCTGTGCGTCTATCTCTGTTTTTCTCTCTTTCTTTTTCTCGTTCGTGCCGGACACGAAGGAGGCTTATCGTCGCCAATGGGCCCTCCTCTTGGCGCCACGAACGCGGCAACGGCATTAAACCGCGGCGCGCCGCGCGAGACTTACTTATAGTCGCAACGTCGTGCCGTGGCGCGGCGCGGCGCCGCGCCTCCGGGAGGGACTCCAACTCCTCTCAGGACTCGTACATTATGTGCGTACTGGGTGTCTCTCCTCTTTTGCCCGTTCCGTCGCTTTCCCTCCTATGTCAACGCTCTTTTTTATCGGTGACCGTCGATCTATTTATCTCTTGTTTCGCTCAGACTGGGTAGCCGGAAGCGTCGCGCGTGAAACGAGCACGCGCACTCCCGTGCCTCTTCGTGATGCGGCTTCCGTCGAGTTTTCGCCGGCGGTTCCAAACCACCGAAAACCGATAAGCAATCGATTTTCTCATTCTTCGCTAAATCCTCGCCATTCTTATCTAGTATTTAAGATAAAACATTAATATATGAAAAACGAGTCGTATTTCTTTTTTTTTTATGTACGTGACTCACAGATCAAGAAATCGTCGAGTTCGGGTACCATTAAAAAAACGAGTGGTCGCAGATGCCGAGATTAAAGCGTACACACGGATGCTTAACGACCGTCTATGTTCATTTTTGGCGCTTCCATTCGTAAATTACGTATTCAGGCTCTGAAATAAAAAAATACGAAACAGTGAAATAATACAAGGTGCGTTTCGGCGTATAAAACTTTGAACGCGTCATTATAGAATCCGTTGGTTATAGGTGCCCACGCAATAAAAATTAGTTGCGAATCCGTGAATAAACATGTGGAAACTTATTGTCTGTTGAGCGGTATTATCGCTCGGGCGGTCGACCGTCGTACAGAATTTCTGGACAGGGTGCTTGTGAAAAATAAAAAAAAAAAAAAAAAAACGAAGATATACAAAAATACGTTGTAAAGAGTACCAGGAAATGTTGCTAAAAAAAAAATAAAATGAATATCCCCTGCTTATCTTCTATGATTCTGTGATTCCAAGCTTTACCATCGCCAATGATAGGATGTCATATCTTAAACAATTATGTCTTACTATAAGCAGTTTTTTAAATGTTATTTTTAATATTTTTTCCTTCTACGTGGTTCTTTGCACAATTTAATTCTTTCTTTAGAATGCTTGTGTTCATTCTATCAAGGTAAAAGCGAATACATTTATTGTTACCTTTATTTATATTTATAAATATAATACTGTTACGCGATTTACACAGCGACGAGAAATTTGTTACGCCATTTTTAACACCTTACAAGCTGCCATTACTCTGACAGCCACTGGCATATGACTTTATACGATTATGACGTTTCAAAAACTTTCTTTCGACCCTGTCAAAAATAAAATTCGTGGACTCGCTGACACTCGAGTACCGAATTTCACACATTCTCAAGGTCGTTCGACGTATCTGCTATTTTTTTTTTATCATTTTTTTTAGCGTTGTGGAACCACTTCGGGGCCACGCGAGATCGCGTAACTTCTCCTCGTCTACCAACGTCTATAACCTGCGCGGCACTTCGACGATCGTCGTTCGCATTCGATCTGATCTCTTGGACGATCACCAAACGTAGCCCCCTTCCAATAACCGCGACCGGCTAAGAAAGTTCTTCGGTCGAAAGAGGACGGAGAAGACATTCGTGGCGCGATCGAGATTTTCCTCGACAAAGTCACCGGTGCCCGCGATCAGCGTGAACGTTTTCACGCGAGACGGCGAGAAGAAGTCCGTCAATCGCTCTGTGCCGGCGCACTGCATATGCGAAGGCGGTGTTTGCACCGATAAGGAGAGCATTGCTCAACTTTTGACCTTTGCTTAGCCGCTCCGGGGTCCGCTGGCTGAAAGAAAATACCAGATAATTCACTCGTAGGTTCCTCTCTTTCTTTTTCACTCTCTTTCTCTCCCTCTATCGTTGCCGTCTCCGCGTTTATCTCTGTCCCGCTCTCTACCCATCTTTCTTCCTCTGGTACAGTAGCTAGTAGACGCGCACGTCCAACGCTCGGATCACGTAAACGACTGACACCTTGAAAGCAAAGCCGCATCATACCGTATCTCCATGATTATTTAACAATCAAAGGCGGTAGGTGACGCGTAACAATCTTCGCGCACCTCAAATGACGAATGCGACATATTATTGCCGCGCAAATTACATATTTAAAATCGTCTAGGTCGCTGATACACCCAACTGTTTCATCGTTCGAGAGTCCGATTAGCTCGGAACACGAAGGATTAGTTTATTTTTTATCCCGACCTATATTGTTTCCCGTGTAAAGTCATTAATTCCTGTTACATGTTGCTTTCCATGTGTTTATGAAAATTTATCTGCATCGTCGCATACATATTATACAATATACATTCCGTAAAATGATGCGTATTTAATTGCGGCGCATTAACGCGATGCACCAACGGTGTCGGCGTCGCTACTGTATTACTACCAGACATCTTTCTTCTCTTTCCTCTTTGATTCTGTTCACATGGCGAGATGATCGTCACCCATTTCTTTGGAACCCACTTTGGGGCGAGGCTGTGTCATAGGTATAAAAGGGAGACGACGGATTTCGAAGTAAACGAATCGTCAAGAACGCTACTGGAATGTTGATTCGACGAGACGCACGTTCCTCGTCATCGTCGTTATTGTCATTGTCATTCTTCTTATTGTTATTGTCGTTGTCGGGCTACCGGTCTTTACACATGTTGGACACGTAACGATGAACGGATGCGACTATTAAGAGCGAAGCCGGAGTCTTCTGTAGGTGTAAAGTCGGTATGTACTGGACTCAACGCACGACTTCTACACGATGTTTGACACGACGCACGATCTTGACGCGATGCAATTATACCAAGTACGCTAGCGCTTTGACCTATCAAATAGCCCACTGTCTCTTCTCATGGTCCGTCGAAACGAAAGCAAAAATTTTACAATTCGTGCGTTATATTTTCGCCTACTGGTTCCTATGAATTCCGAGCGCTCAGCATCGACACCCGTGACAACCAAAGAAGAGAGCTTCGAGCGCTTTATGTTCGGCATTTTGTGATAAACCTAGAACCAAGAATAATTCTTTTTAAATATTTCAAAATCTCGCTTGAAATTCCGATTTAAAAACCAGATGTATCGGTCGAAACGTTTGATATAATTCTGTAATAATTTTAGCAATCCAACGACCAATATTTTGTCAATTTTATCATTTGGGTCTACGTTCGGAACCCAGATATTTTTTTTTTCAAACACAGACGTCGACCAACATAATTTTCATATCGTTCCACGGATGCCGTGACGGCGTCGTGCTCGTTCTATCAGCCGTAGACGTTAAATGGCTCTCGCCTTGACCACAAAGACGAACGGGAACGCTTTGAGAAGTTACGCGGAATGTAGGACGAACGGATGAAAAAAAAAAGAAGAAGAAAGCATAAAAGAAAAATGAAGAAGAAGAAGAAACGAAGACAAGGCATTTCATAATTGATAACTGGTATCTCTAATTTCATTGTTCTCTTGTCGTCCCGCTCGTTCCGTAGGATTCTGAGACACCGTCGACGCGCGATATCGTGCTTGCCGTACGGGTAATTATATCATCGTCGATCGCGGAGAGGACGCGTTTCGATTCGCGGGACGACAGACTGGACACGGATGACGATTCTCTTCTCAAGAACCGCTTTGTTCCAAAACACGATTGGCAGCCGATGTGCACCGGTGGAAACCGGTCATCTTACCACGTACCGGTGGCGTGCAAACGGGACGAGGACAAATCGGTGCCCCGCCTCCCCACGTATGGCAAATTTGGGATCCGTGACCGCTCTTAATATCGCGGGGGATTGGGGTAAGGGAGAACAAGGCACGAGCTGCGGAGGGACTAAACTCGATGTGTTAGTTAACGAATGCGAGAATGCGGCCTGGCGCCAACGCACACGCACGCGTCCGACGTGTCACGCAGTCTTTGCTACCGGCCTCGGTATATTGGTTTATCCCTCCTCCCAGCTTCCCTGGATCTCCCTGTTGCATAGCTTCGAGACACGCACGCGAACTCCTCGTTTTCTTGTCGAGAAAGAGGAACGACGAGAAGGAAGAAAGAGGACGGGGAAAGGAGGCAGCAACCAGTAGCAGTTTAGAGTACACAGAAGCGTTAAGGTAGCACGAGATAGTCAAAGTTCTTCGTTGCCGTTTAAAATTCTTGCAGGCCCGTAGCGGTCGTGACAAGCAATTTATTTAGAACGTTTTCGATAATTGGTTTTAGGCGATCTCCTGTAACATTTAAATTTAATGATTATACGGGAATAAGGAATGCTTAACATTTAAGAAAGGGAAAGAGATACGTATTGCAATTTAAAGATTACAAAATTTACAAATAAATATATTTATAATGCAATGAAACTGAGAGATAATAACGGTGGAAATAAGATGATAGTTATTAGGTTAAAGCAGTGGTGCGCAACGTTTGACGCTGGTGGGCCAACTTTTGGATGAAGAGAGAAATGAAATGTTATATTTCGATTAAACGTAACATAACGTTTATTTTAAAATAATAATATGGTCTCGTTCTCGGTTTGATTGAAAAATTAATATGCTTATTAATATTATTGAATAAACAACAGAACGTTTTTGATCCTTGATAAATTACCTGAATTTAAATGGGTCAATGTAAAAATAGTAAACTTTCGAGCTCGGTTATTCTATTTGATTTGCCCCATATATTCAAAGGTTTATTAAGGTACCTTAGCTTCTATTGGATTCTTGAGGTTTGAGAACGTACGTGGGGACTAACTTTGAATCTTAAACACAAGCTGTTTAACATTTGACCTCAATGAAGTTGTAGCAAGTTGCATAACAGTATTCAGATTTTCATCTCCTGTGTAGTTCCTGGTTTTGTTTTTATTCAAATCCATAATTAAAAAACCTTGGTAGTAGGTGTAAATACTGCTGGATATATACCTGAAAGAAGTATATTGTCAAAAATATTTGAATCGGAGCTAGGTGTCATATTTTTGTAAAATATTATTATGTCGTTTGGTTAAAACTGCAAACGAAATAAATTAGATTGCACAACTTGTTCATCGGGATCGCTATGACCGACAACTATTATTTTGTCAACCAAATAAGAATTTAAACCTTATATACAGGGTGTTCGGCCACCCATGGGAAAAATTTTAATGGGGGATTCTAGAGGCCAAAATAAGACGAAAATCAAGAATATCAATTTGTTGATGGAGGTTTCGTTAAAAAGTTATTAACGTTTAAAGTTCCGTCCGTACTGAATTTTTTTCTCGAAAGTGGCTAGGAATTCGAGGGTATGTCTAATGATCGAAAATGATTGTAATTGACCTTCGCAACCAAAAATAATTTTTACAGAACGATTTGAAATTTTTTAATTTTGACGAAAAATTTCATACCTTGTCAAATTTTTTTCTCGAAAGTGGATAGGAATTCGAGGATATGTCTAATGGCCAAAAATGATTGTAATTGACTCCCGCAGCCGAAAATAATTTTTCCAAAACGATATGAAATTCTTTTTTCGCTGAAAAATGTAGGCACTTTTGTCGATTTTTCTTAAAAATTTATTTTTCATTTTTAATAAATTTGTTTGACGCTCTACAGAAAAGTTGTCTAATACGGTTTTGTAGGTACACATGGGCTTTGCTGCAGAAAAAAGTTTCAATGAGATAGCTTTACTATTGTAGGAGTTATGGCCGTTTGAAAATTGGACCAGTTTTAGGTGGTTTTTCTCACTTTACGGTGTCAAGGAACAACTTTTTCAATATTGTTAGAATTTCTACATATTCTCCACTAAAATACGCGTTGTTTGTATTTATGAAAAATTAAAATCCTCCAATCCGTTCAGGAATTATGACATTTTATAGATTCGCATCACCATTAGATTTTTGGTAAAGAATTTTTTTCCTCGAAAGTGCGTAGGATTTCGGAGTATGTCTATTCACCAAAAGTGATTGTAATTGAGCCCCGCAACCAAAAATAATTTTTTCAGAATGATTTGAAATTTTTTAATTTAATTTTTTAATAACTTTTTAACGAAACCTCCATCAACAAATTGATATTCTTGATTTTCGTCTTATTTTGGCCTCTACAATCTCCCATTAAAATTTTTCCCAGGGGTGGCCGAACACCCTGTATATGTATATACGCGTTCAGGCATTTGCCTCGTTGATCGATGAATTAATGTCACTGTCGATCGAATTGGTAATCCAAAAGCTAATAATTGTTCATTTCAAGTTGCATCGAAATCGTCCGTTAATACGGGCAGCTCTCGAGCACCGTGGCGTAGGATAGGTAAATCAAGTAGTGGTTAATACAAGTGGCTGATCGTAACGCGCGTTCCAATTCAAGTATCAATCATGATAAACACTTCCTCGTGTACCCTGCGAATTATCGTCCTGACGACGACACTGTGCCCCGTTCGTTTTATTTCCTTTCTGCGGCTGTCTTCGTGCGTCCGACATTCTTCGCGGTTCGTTGTTCCTTCTCTTTTTCGTCCTATCGTTATTGTTCATAATAAAGGAGAGACGGGACGAACGAAATTACGCGAAGAGCGGGCAAAGCTCGCGCCACTAAAGCAAGTTAACTACATACCTACTAACGGACAAGACTGCGAGGCATACTAAATCGAGATAGCTATATCATTACGAAGCTATAACTCTGACTGGCGTCTCTATTTCTCGTTCCATAGGGCCAAGATGTAACCCTTACTTTTTCTGTGGTTTACATTAACACAGCGGTGTTCATCTGATAAACAACGGGTTTTCGTGCCGTCAATTCCGAAGTTGTCAACAATTGCAACGAATGAACTAACGCTCAACGATAAATTGTCTATATCTCGTCGATAAAGAAGGAGTCATGTCCCATCGGAACAATGCACGGCCACGTGCAAGCCTCGTGACTCGAAACAAAATTAAGAACTTGAATTGGAAAGTTTCTTATTTTCTTTTTTTTAATTGTTATTTTCATCCCGAGAATCATCATCCAAAAAGGATTAGTAGCCGAACACCTTGTATAAAGCATCGAGTAAATTCTATATTTTTGAGAGAACGTTGAGAGCCCCTGGCTGTGTGTGTGTTTATGATGGGATTTAAAGAAGCATCTCTCTTATCTTCCTCCGACTCGGCCACGGGTGAATCTCTTGGGTTTTTCAGTTCTATCGGTCTTATTGGGCCTTTTTCTGCTCGGACGCCGGGGCGCCGGGACCCGCTACGGTACGAGACGGGACGTGCCGTCACTTCCTGCATACAAAACTGAAGCACCATTAACATTCTTCTGCGGTGCACGATCGGCCGCATTATCTTCTACCGATATAAGTACGTACACGTGCATACGCATACAAAGGAACGCGTGTACTCGCATACCCGCGTGGCTCAGTCGATGCCCTAATCTGAATAATGCGATCGGCCTGCCATGAGTCTTCCTCCGCTTCTCTTTTTCATCTTCGCATGGATCATGCTATGTTCATGGCAGACCGATGCCTGGATTTCGATGTGTTCGACGGTAGCGCACAAATCATCGGCTCGTCCGCCAAAAAGAAACATCGATTCGTACCTCTGGTGCCACGATCGACCATACATCGAATATCTCAATGTTTGTTGATCCTCGGCCCTCGCTTCGGTACAAAATTGACGATGGGAAACGCGACAACGATACAACGATATCGATCCCTTTCTTTGCACGTTTCTAACCTTCGTACGTACCTGCTAAATGTTGGTAACGATTTAAAATTTTAAACGAATGACAATGTGCAATTCTACGGTCTGATTGATTAAATAATCGGACCAAAAACACGAATCACGTGACAGAAATGATTTCTACCTAAGAAGTATGGATATTTGTCTTGGCAATCGATTTTTAGAACAATGTCGTTTATCAGTCGTTTTTGGTTTTAGAACTTTCAGTAATATACGAACCTTCGATAAAATCAACAATTACATTCTCTTTTGTTAGGTGTTACATTTCATGTTCTGCGTTGTTCTACGATAAATTTAACTCGTGCACTCCACACGACGACTTTAATTACCTGATTCAAATCAATAAATCCAGCAACCGATTTATCTTTTGTCATTTGATTGTTTAGTAATGCCATCTAACGAACATGATAAAAACTTTTCGATCGTAGGTATTGTAGGGATATAACTGACTTTTATCAATCGTGAGTCACGTTCTATCTAGGGAATAATGTAGCCGGTGAATTGGCAATGCTGGTAAAGCGAATTCTGGGTAAAATAACGTGAGTCGTGTCGGTTGTCGCTGTAAAATTTCATCGGTGGGTTCATTAAAAAAAAACGATTACAGAATAAAATCAAAGCGATAGAATTTTATTACGTAATTTCTTTGTATCGTCGGATTGATTTGTGTGCAAATCAGATATTTTTGTGTCTCGGAACATTGTATATTTCTTTTCTTTGCTATTTGACTCGTTAGTAACAGAGTGTCGTTTGCAGTCTTGTACCTGCGTGCTTGCGTGAGTGTAGCAAGACGATTCTGTATTACGCACCCCCTCCCGTCTTAATACTATTATCCATTTTCCTGTGATTTTAGCTTTGCAGTGTCAGTTGAGGCTGATCTACGATGATTGACCTCACGGTAAAGACTTTGGATTCACAAAACCATGCTTTTTCATTGGAAGACGACGTAAGTATATTTTTTTGTCCGTTAGGCACCAAATTCTTATTTATCATGTTTATAACTTCGACGATGTTGTTTCCTGCATTGTTCTCAATGGCATCTCGTCAACTGATATTACTATTTTTAATCATATCACTCACGCTCTATATTACAGAAACTATTAATATGCACATAACAGCGCTCGTTTTCTTGAATAATATGCAATATTTGAAGAAAATTATTATATTTAGATAGCCTTTCAATCTTTTCGATATTTTCAATATGTAAAAGTAGATATTTTTGTATAATTGACATAGTTGTAATACTCATAATATTGCAACGCTTTCTCTATAATACTTTTATAGTTCGATTACCATTTTAATATTTCTTTGCTGCATAACTTATGTTGCGTGATTTCTTATGGAATGTAAAATAATAAAAATTAAATAGAAATCTTATTTTCATGGAATACCTGCATTAAATGTATATACATAATATATAAAACAGACCAACTGTAAGTTAACCCTTTTAGAATTCATATTAACATATGTATATATACTTCGTGTATAGACATCATAGTCAATAATTATTTTACATATAATACACATTCACACGTATGCATTATGTATACATGTATACTTATGAAACTACATAATGACTTTTTTCCCAATATATTTTATACTAAACTTGTACATTTTATTTAAAACTGCTTTAGAAAAATGATCAAGTAATGAAACCTAACCAAAAAGACATACATCAAGATCAAGTCTAAAAGTATTAATAATATAAAATTTTTATTGAATATGTAGTACATGTATATAATATACTTACATTTAAGTAGCTTTTAAAATATTGATTACCACCTGCAAGTATGTTGTAATCCAAAAATATAATTCACTTATATATTGCTTGCTTTGTGAGTACTATTTTGATAATAAATCTGAAAATTCTTTTTCAGTCGTGTGAGCCAGCGGCTAAAATCTTTATAGCAATGTGATATTTCTAAACATAAATTATTCAAATGTTACTATATGATGGAATCATGACAATCGATTAGAAATAATATAAACAACATAAAACATAGTTAAGCTTTTTTTGGCATAACTCAACAATAGAAACTATATATTATTAATTTTTTGCTCGTAAATTATTTGCATACGATAGACACAATTAATTAGAAATAAAATATATATTGAACAAAATAATCGATAGATGTACAATGTGTAAAAGAAATATTTTCACCAAATTTTTTTTGAAAGCAAATTACAGTACGAGGTTTCAAAGAACATATAGCAGAGTCGGTGTCTGTACCAGCAGATTCACAAAGACTTATTTATTGCGGGAGAGTCCTCCAAGATGAGAAAAAGTTAAACGACTATGGTAAGAAATTAGGTTCTGTTGCATTTGTGAATATAATTTGAAAATTATACAATACATTATATATTTATAATTTAGATGTCAACGGAAAAGTTATACACCTGGTGCAACGCGCACCGCCTCAACCTGGTCAGCGAGGGAATGACGGAGGTCAAATTGATGGCCAAGGTCAAGGCCATGGACAGCCTGGACAAAATTCACAAAGAACACAATATAGACTGACGCGAGCACAAATGCATGGCAATGCTATGTATTTGGGTGCAATGTCAGTTCCAGCTGAAATTGTAGAAGGACATGGTACAGTTATTAACATTCTTATATGGTATCATTTACAGTGGTGCTTTGGAAATTGACTGGTTGCTATCACCATCAACTCTTGGAACTGGCTTTCATATTTTTAAATCTATCATTCTAAATCAACTGTGAGATATCGATGTGCCGTATCACGCATCTTTATTTCATTCGCATTCTCCGAAAAATAGAGATACACGGGACTTCTTGGAAGATCTACCTACCTTCAACTTTGGTCAATTTTCAGTTCCAAATGTCAGTTAATATCCAAGGCATAACTGTATAGCATTGAAAGTTCTTCCTTCCTCTATGTACATTATTTGTTGCGTTTAATAGGATTGCCGGTCCCTGAGTTGAGCAATAGTTTGTCCAACAGTCGTTTAAATTTGGCAAGACGAATGCTTAATCGGGAAAATGAACTTATAGAAAGACTTGATGACCCTGGTTGTCCTCTTAACCCCCCTTCATCAGAAAGTAATCAACCACTTTCAGCTCAGCAAGTGCAAGTTCAATTAGAAGCAGAACAATTGTAAGTAAGGAAGAGAAATTGATAATTATGGTATAAGATGATCAAGCAATCTTACAAACTGCTTGGCTTTTCTAGTAATAATGAAGGTAGAACAATTGTTGGAACAAGAATAACAGAAGATGCGGCAGCTGCTTTCGCAGCTGGTTGGTCTGCAACTGGAAATAATGTCACATTAATTAGAGGTTTGTGTATAAATGAGAAACTACATAAAATAACATGAAAAATGTATCTTTATATACAATTGTAAATTGTAAAGCAGGAAATTTTGACGACAGTGGTGAAACAGTACCACTAAATGATGCTAATGACGCTAATGACGATAATCAACCAGATGCACAACAGCCGCAACAATCGCAATCTGAACAACAAGGATCTACATCAAATAACACAGATAGGCAATCCACGTCACAGTAATGATTTATTTATGCATATATGGATTGTAGTGTAATATAATATTACATAATTCATGGATCTATTATTTTTAGACTTCCACGACCCCCACAAATGGCAGAATTGTTGGAACTATTACTGAATACTCAAGATAGATTACGACCTTATATAGAACGTTATCGAGACCTTATGCTTGCTGATCGTCCATTAAATCGAGGAGTAAGTACATGCTGTTTTTCAGTGCACATTATAGACACAAATGACTTCATTTTTAAAACCATTAATATTTAGAGTGAACCTGAAAGCGTGGAAGAAAGTCAGAGAATAGTAGATGGCGTAAGCGAAAGCTTACACTACTTATCTCATGCTTGTCATGCATTGAGCGATATAATTGTCGATATGTCACAACAACCGCCCAGAAATTTGCGATGTAGACCAATTATTATTCAGCACTCAGCTATTTTGCAACCCGGTATACCAATTCAAGTAGAGGTAAGGATAAACGACCATAATATTTAAAATTTGTTCCATAGTGTAATCAAATCATTCGATAATGTATTTCTATTAGGCACACATTAGTTTACATGGTCGGAATGCAAATAACAATAATGGTGGTGAAGAAAATAATGACTCTGCAACTACACCTGCACAAGGGGAAACAAATGAAACTGCTACAGAAGAAGCTAATCAACAACGGGAACCTGAAGCTGCTACTCAACAAACGGAGCAACAACAACGAGATCAGACACAATCTCCATTTGGTATGTATAACAATGTTTCATTACAAGTTATGTAAATAATATAAAATCTATGTATATAACTAAGAATGTCTATCTATGTCTGGTTAAGAAAATGAAAATTATTTTCCAGGTACAGTATTTAACTTGCCAAATAACTTAGAAGTGTTAATGGAGGTTAGTCCTGAAAATAATATGGATGCTCCGTCGGGAAGTGAGCAACCTCAAACAGGTGAAAATAATAACAACAATAACAATAATAGAGGTGAGTTCGTAGTAAATAGAATTTTATTGTTACGACTAAAAACAGTTTGTTAATTGAAATGATTTCATTTGTGTAATGTTATCATTTCGTTGTCCTTACAGGGAGAGTGGGTGGTAATATTGGTTCATTTCCCTGGGGTTCTGCTCCTCCCCCAGATTTTATACGAAACTTAATGCAGGCTGTTGCTGGTTATATGGTACAAGGTGGTATTACTTCCACGACAATTAGAACTGAAAATCCTCCAACAGCTGGAGGACAACAAACAGTTGGTGCAACGTTCGATGGAAATACAAACGCTGGCCAAAGTACACAAGCAAGGTTCGTTTATTCTAATATGCTTTCTGTATTGTGATCATCTGTAGAATTTCTATAAATAAATAAAAGTGAAGGAACATCGGAAGATATCGTGCCAACATATTGAGTTTAAAGAAAGCAACTAATCTATCTTTTTTTAATTAAATAATATTTTATTGTAGAAGTAACGTCGGTACTCATCCTACTACAGCAACTCAAACTAGGAGTACGTCACGTCCACATGTATTCCATCAGCAGGCACATCCTTTAGGCGTGGGAATGAGTATAGGCCAAGGATTTGATTTGGATCCATTTCTTCCTTGTAATTCACATCACGTTCGTCGAGCATCGACTACAACTTCTAGTACTGTCACTTCGACATCGCAAGGAACACGGACAAGCCAAACATCCACTGCCGAAACTCAGACTCAGCCACAAACAGGTATCTAATTGAAACAGATATAATAATAATTGTTACGTAATAAATACTGCTACGTGTTTCCTATATAATATTAAATAATTTTATTCTTAGCAACAACTTCAACTACGACTAGTAACACCAGCTCTACAAATACTACACCTGTAACAACGGCACGAGAATATCCCCCTTTTATAAATTATATACGACGAGCGATAGAGGCAAGAAACGGTCGGCCACCAGCTAACATGGGTAAGTACAGGAAAATTACCTGAAACAGTGTTCTCAAAATAGAATGGTTGTCTGTATTCATAAAATGCATTAATTTTGTATTATTTGAAGTTGATGCAAATTATAATCTTTATTTCATCACAGCCCGTCGTGTGCTCGTAGATGCAGGAAGGGTGGCATTCGGAAATGGACCTGTAGGGATTTACAGTAGGAGTTATACTGCAAATGTAAATAGGTGTGTTGAATACTTCTACAACATACAGTAGTGCCCACATAATTGACCTCATTTTTGCCCACTTAATTGACCGCGGTTACCCCCACCAATTCTTAGAAGCCAAAAGCGGCTTCGAACATCGTGCGTAACTTGACGCCGGTCGTTATCGATACATTGTATATATGGTTTCGGGTGCAAGCTATTGTATCTCACTCGCATTTATTTTGTTCCCTTATCTCCGTTGAATTCTGAGAAATAACCATGCCCACATAAATGACCGCGGCCGGTCCCGAGCGTGGTCACTTATGTGGGCACTACTCTATATTCATTAAATAAGATACATATTTAAACTTGTACATTGTTCTCCTATTTAGGAATGATTTTAGTCCTTCTGTCGCGGAATGTTTGCTTCCCTTCATGGCATTTTTTACGGCCCAGAATGCACAAAACGAAGATAATTTATTTGTAAATTTGGGTCTATCAGTGGTAAATAGAATAATACTTTTTACGCAAAACATTTATACAATCATTTGTAATAATAACGTAGAACAATTTCTATCTTTAAATACATATTCAGTTTGAACATATGTCTGTACAAGATATGATGGAATTACGAGACGGCAATTGGGAACCACTTTCTTATCAAAGAAGGTACATACTAGAATTCTTTCAAAATGCTTATCCGAATGCTACCACGGAAACACTTCAGGAACAAGTTACAGAACGAATTGTGTCAGAGTTGATACCTGATCTTCAAGAGTTGTTAGAAGAAGAAGAAGAAGAATATGCTAATAATAGAAATGAATCGCGTATAGATATTTGCGCGACTGTAGAAGCTTTGCTACGTCGATGTATAAATGATTTTCTGCGATTACTTTTTAATAATGGTTCGTAATTCTGCAAATTGTACGTGTGCTGAAATTTAAATCTCAGTCGTGGAATACACATTATATTTTGTTTCCTTTAAGATGTTAGCGATGATAGATTTGGACAAGAAGCTTACATTATTTTGCATAATTTGGGAAGACAGTTATGGGCAGTGCTTCGATATTCGATTCGCAATGGACAAACAGGATTGGAAACTATTATATCACGCTTTTGGGTTAGTTATACTGGTCGCATAACATTTAATTATGTATTTTTAGGTTGGGTGTTGTAGTAATCGATTTATAATTTAAATAGACTTTGATAAGTGAAGAGCGTAACCCTGTGTTACGTGTCTGGCTGCAGGAAGCTCTTCCCCATTATAGAGTATCGCTGCCCCCAGATTCAGAAATTCTTCCACTTTTAATATACAAGGATGCAGCACCCTCTCAATCATCAACGGTGCCTTCGGCCCCAGCACATCAACCTTCGCAAACACAACCCGAGGTGGAGGTTAGCTATATATTTTATGTAGATTTAAAACGGAAGCAAAATAAATTTAACATTGTATTGTTACAGCCTATGGAGACTGAAACTGTAGAAGAGAGAACAACTTCTGAAGCATCTCTGTCAGATGATAGTAGAGAGGAAGTTCCGGAAACATTTCCAGATCATGAAGCACTACCTTCAGTAAATCTATATTCATACGAGTATAGAAATGTATATTGCAAAGAACAAGAATATAAAAAATGATTTGTTTTAGGATTGGGTGCCAGTGATTGCCCGGGATGGAGTAAGGCAACGTCGTCAGTTACAAATGCAAGGAATGACAAACGGTGGTGTAGCGACATTTAGCGATGCCTACTTAGGTACACTGCCTACTAAACGGCGTAAACTTATTGAAAAACAAAAACCACGGTTATTAGTCAGCCCAACCCCTAATAATTCAGCAATAGCAGCATCCATGGAACGTTTAGTTCGAGAAGGTGTAACACGATCTGGTGTTGAAGAAGTTGATGGTGCTGCGGTTGCTGTAGCTGTAGATCCTGGTGTAAGACGTGCGTTTGGTCAAGCAATCAGAGACTGCTTGAATCCACGTAGATACGGAACACCAGATTTTCCAGATCCTTTACGTTTTCCTAACGCAACTAAATATTTTGCGGATCAAGATAGGCCACCGAAATAATAACTATAAGAAGGAAACAGTTTATAATGGCTTAGAGTATTTATAAAGGAGAAACGGGGTAGCGTAAAAGAGTGAAAAATTACAGCGACCAAGGAATATACAAGATACATTCACAACTTGTAACCACAAATATTATTAATAATTATAACTGTAACGCAACACAATAATTTCTTTTAAATCTAAAATGTCTTAAACGATATCACCCAATGAAATATTACATAAACTATTATTTTGTTTAATCAATATAGTATGTAGCTTGTGAGGTATATCTAATTTTTCAATGTATAAATATGTTAAATAATTAATATTGTACTTCTATATTATTAAAAATTGCAGTATATCGGCTATCCTTGCTCTCTCTCTCTCTCGTTGTACTCTAAGCATAAATTTACCCCAACGCAACACTATATTAACACACTTCTTTCATATTAAACAGCGTTTTCTGTAGAATTATTGTTATGCAAATGAAGTGTATTATTCATAATCAAACGACACGTGTAGGTATCGTACAGACAGTGATGTGTATTGGCGATTATTATACTTCTAACCTATGCATTATTGTAAGCTATTTGAGTGTCGTCAATATTAAAATGATCTTTTTAATATTGATTCTACTCGTTTAATACCGATGACACTACTGAATAATATAAACTGTAACAATTTATAGCCCAATATCTAATTTAAAAGGAAAAAAAAGTATATGAAGTCATTGAAAATATTTAAAAGCGATTAATAACAGCAATTTAATATGTCCCACTATAATCATGAATTATCTAAGATGATAATTTGTATTACATAAACTTTGTTGAATAATGCGTTATAAAATTTATCCAAATAATACGTCTTTGTAATTTATGTAGATAATTAATTTCAATTACACAGTGTCACGAAATAATTCAGACGAGAACTTTTTATACGAATTATGGTATTGGTATTTATATTTTATGTACGACCAGAGTATATACAAAATAACTTTAATTATCTTATAATTTTTAAATGATGTTCTATCATTTTAGACATGGAAAGTTATTGAATAACCTAATATAAAAATTAATATGAGATCAAGTTACGTTCGCGTTAATATCACCACCGAATATAAATATTTGATAGATCATATACAGGGTGTTCGGCCAACCCTGGGAAAAATTTTTGTGGTAGATTATAGAGGCCAAAATAAGACGAAAATCAAGAATATCAATTTCTTGATTGAGGCTTCGTTAAAAAGTTATTAACAATTAAATTAAAAAATTTCAAATCGTTTTGGAAAAATTATTTTAGGTTGTGAGAGTCAATTATAATCATTTTTGGTCAATAGACGTACCCCCGAAATCATACATACTTTCGAGAAAAAAAATTCGAGGTGTGAAATTTTTCGACAAAATTAAAAAATTTCTAGTCGTTCTAAATAAATTATTTTTGTTTGCGGTGGTCAATTACAATCATTTTTGGTGAATAAACATACCCCCGAAATCCTGCGCATTTTCGAGAAAAAAATTCAGCACGGGCGGAACTTTAAACGTTAATAACTTTTTAACGAAGCCTCCATCAACAAATTGGTATTCTTGATTTTCGTCTTATTTTGGCCTCTAGAATCTCCCATTAAAATTTTTCCCAGGGGTGGCCGAACACTCTGTATAATGTTAATAAAGTAACTGGAGTAATTTTATGTGATCATAAGTTTGACTTTAAGGAACCATGCCAATTATTATATTCTACCAAACAACCAAGCATCTACAAAAGTACTGATTTTATATTTATACTGATTAATATAATTCTAAATTTCAATATAACTCGCATCTGATCCACAATAAATCGTTTCTTGATCGATGACTTCATATTAGACCTAATACAACTCACTTGCAATTATTTAGACAAAAAACGTAAATATCATTCGTATTTTGTAACACTAATGTAAACCGTGATTTGCCCAACAAGACCGGATTAGGAATAAACGTGTGATTCACATACTAGTTAAAATAAACGAACTACTACTACTACTAAAACTATTGGCAAGTACAGTGGTAAAATAGTGATATGACTCAACAACTGACTTTGACTGAGACAATTTGTCAGGGCCTTTTTTTTCTTCGGGCGATACTACCCTACCTAACCTGAAACTTGAACTTAAACCTTTTTTTTTGTTGGTTCGAGATTCTGCAGACCTACTTATAAACCTAAATTAAATGGGAGAGCCCACAAAGCTCGTTCCTTGTCCTCACGATGATCGATAAATTGTTTGTTTTGCAGAACTGAAATTCTTTTTCGAATTGGTAACTTGGTGTTCCATGAAACTATCGTAGTGGTCGAGTTTCGCGGGTTCTTCGCATCGACAACATAAACGAAGAGGTGTCGATGTAACACATAACACTCACACCAAAAGGTAAGTTACTTATCGTACTTCCACGAGAAGAAGGCACAGCGTGTTTACATCCCTACTCTTGCTGCAGTCCGTTGATTGGCTGTCACCGTTTTCGACCAATACCTGTGAGTCAGTGGACTGCAACAGGGGTGGGGATGTAAACACGCTGTGCCTTCTCCTCGTGGAAGGACGATACTTACCTAACACTATATTTAAAAATGGTAAAACACATTTTTGCAAACAAACACTCCAGGGTTTTCACACTTAATGTTTGGGCGCAAAGCCTAAACTAGGAAGGACGTTCCAGGACACCCCTGAGACTAGAACATTGCACGCTATAAAGTGTTGTTCTTCCGTGAGACGAAAGCACAACGTGTTCATATTCCCATTCCTATTGCAGTCCACTGACTCTCCAACTTACCATCGCAGGTATGGTTGCTATTAGCCGAAAACCATGACGAAGATCGGCGGCAGTCAATTCGTGATCAAGTGTGACAGGACACTCACCACTGCTGCTAACAATGAGTAAATATTTTGTCTCATTAAATCTCGATATAACTACCGTTGATCTCTGTCGCCGTATTCGATCTGTGATAATGGAAAAATCAACGGACTGCAACAAGAGTGGTAATGTAAATACGTTATACTGTTTTCTCGTGGAAAAACAGTAAATACCAGTTTCCTGAAGTCAACTAACAAAGGTTAGTGGCCATTGTGTATTTCTAGTATGTGTATACATATGTACATATATTAGCTATTATGTTAAGAAGGATAATTCTATTTAAATGTGAGTGCTCGTTTAAGGAGGAATAATTAATTTATATTCTATTGTCTTCTGTTTCGATGAGCCTTTATCAGGCATGTTCTTCAAATATCGATCTAAACGCGATTGTATCTCACGAAAAATCTTCGTATAAATGGAGGATGGCTGGGTTCGGTTAAGGCGGGTCTCCATTCACAGTAACGTCTAAGTCGATGAAATTATTTAGCGTGTAATTAATAATCGTAGCACTTTTAGCTGAATATTACAATTATTAATTACATAGTAAATAATGTGAGCAAATCGACCGCGTAGATGTTTTTGAAAATATTTACACTTTTGTCAAACTTACTGTATAGGCATGTTCGTTAGTTTTGCGCGTTCTAGTTACAGTTGAGTTCTTTGTTGGCACATGTACCTACATATCTACGTTCAATACGTGTGGAAATGAACAAAAATCAACTGACAGCAAATCTATAAAAATTGCATTGATTTCCGATATGATTCTCGTCCATACCACTGAAAATGTAACATAACGCTAAGTATCCAGAAATAGCACCACTGAAATTCCTATAAATGGTCCGTTTCTTTCAGCTGGTTGCTTACTTCGAGATCCCATAAATTCTTTAGCCATTTCTCTCCTTTTGTAACTGTCGCCATCTGTAGATTTCGTCGAGATTCTTTCGCGTCGTTTCCCAGTCCCCGCTTTATATCCTCGTTTACCGTACACATGTTTCCACGCCACTTTCGCGCGTTCTCATTTCGTTGAATATTTACGACACGATTAGTCAGTGACTTCACAATTTACGAGGTAGCTACGAGCTCACGAGCTTTTATTTGGCCGTGTACATCGGATCGTCGACGTACTTTTTTGCTTAGAGCAAAAACGAACGGGAAAAAGTATCGTAACGCGTCGATTGGTTGAAACGTATTCGAGAGAGAGAGACACACTATTAGCAAAGCGATAAACGACCAGCGACACTCGTTTCATGGAAACAGACTTTGAAGTGTCCATTGTACAGTGAAAACTCGATAAATGTCCTCAAGAGATGTTCCGTAAATGATACATTTTTATCTCCACCGCTAGGGGGATCCCCCTTGAACCAGTGAGGCGAAATGTAACCGGAGACGTAGCAACTTTCTTTAAAATTCTTTATTGCCTTCGTCACCTTCGTTTATATGCCCCTGTCTGTGTGATCACACTACTGTACAGAAGAAAGTTTTTTATTTTCTACTATATGTTAATAAAAATTTTACTATTTTACTACTAAACACGATATAAATCAATATTTGGTAGCATAACATTGAATTAAATATTATACTTGGGAGTCTTTCTCTGTTTGTTTATCATTCTTGTGCTGTCCTTTTCTATCTTCGGAAACATCAAAGAACAACGGGTCGAGGTGCTGGGTACATTTATCGAATAGGAGGTAGCTATTTTTCAAACGGAACGCTTCCGCTATTCCATAAGCGATCAGAAACTGCAACACTTATGAAATAGGAGGTTTTGTTAGCTACCACTGTTCGATAAATGTACTATCCACTGACCTTGCGAAGATACGAGTACGTACATGTTTTGGAGGTGGCATTAAATACCTTTCCCCAACTCCACTGAGACATTTCACTCGAAATTGAACACGTTTTGGTACACAATTTCAGATATTGTGCAAACTGAAATATTTTCAGTAATGTAATGTGTAACGGATATTTAAACTGAGGCGATAAATCCGGTTTTTAGTCACTCTTTCTATGTTTGAGGCGTTGGCAAACAACAATCAAATTGGAGAAACGATTCTCCTATTCCATAAGTGTTCCTGACCCGACCCGGAGTAATGATATTTATCGAGTTTTCACTGTAATGCTATCTTGTAAGTCGAGAAACATACAGACGGATACATAGCTCTTTTTGTTCGATGAAACGAGTTTAATCATTCACGTTATCTGCTTCAAGTATTTCGCATATTTTTCTCAACAGGGTGTTCGACCATCCCTGGGAAAAATTTTAATGGGGTATTCTAGAGGCCAAAATAAGACGAAAATCAAGAATACCAGTTTGTTGATCGAGGCTTCGTTTAAAAGTTATTAACGCTTGAAGTTTCGCCTGTAGAACGACAATCTGCGAACAGCTGCGTGCGCGCACAGTCGGAACTTTAAATCTTAATAGCTTTTTAACAAAGCCTCCGTCAACAAATTGGTATTCTTGATTTTCGTCTTATTTTGGCCTCTAGAACCCCCTATTAAAATTTTTCCCAGGGGTGGCCGAACACCCTGTATATCCTTTTAGAAAATTCAAAGCTATTTCACAGTCTGGTTACACACCGGTGCTTGTACGACGCGACAAATGTTCAGCAACAGTGTCGTATTTACTACCAGTGTGTAAAGTTTTATGTAAAACATAGCGAAAGTGTCTTTAAAGTAAACATGTTTGTAAATACGATGCAAGCGTACGCGTACAATGCAAATGGTAATATCGACAGGTTAAGTTTTTATTAACTACGAAACGTTTTACAATTCGAAGGCTTGAAAACAGTCACGGTCGCGGTTGAACGTCCCAGTCGTTTAAGAATTTTTAACTCTATCGGGGGATTAACAAGCTTTATCGA